TGGATATCGATAGTTGAATTATTATTGTAGTAGACGTACTAAAAAATGTCGGAAGAAGTAATAATGACAATTGACATCCCCTTAAATGTGCGAAAAATTATTTCCCATGCCGCTAATCTGTAATTCTTGACATGACACAAATTCAGTTAATATTGAATAAATGCAAAAAATATTTCATATTGTTCAACACAAAATGTGGCATAGATTTCGTGTTGAACAAACACAAAATATGAGAAAGCAATTTGCTTTTTTTTTTTTTTTTTTTTTAATAAAAATCTATGCACATATTTCGTGTTGAAGAACACTAAATTCATTTTTTTTCTTCATTTTGTTTATTCAGCATGAAATCGCTGTAATCTCATGTTGAACAAGTCGAACTACATAAAAATGTTGATTTTTTTTTTAATTCCATGTTGACCAACACGAAATTTAATTTTTTTTTTTTAAATGGACGATTTTTTGTTGAACAACACATAATGAATATAAAAACTTTTTTTTTTTTTTTTTGTTATTCAACAGAAAATCCTTATCTGAGTTCATGACTAAAACTAAAGCAAAAAAACATTTTTTTTTCATTATGATCCCATGTTGGTTCATCATCGAACCCACTTAAGGGATTTCGCATTGAATAACACCGAATAAATATATATAAATCTCAAAATAATAAGTGTGATCCGGACAGATTCGCATGACCCAATAAATCAAGGCCTAATAGGGATGGCCCACACTTCAGGAGGAGATAATACTATATGGGGTTCGGGCTTATTTGCCCATTTCATCGGATCTTTATAAATGACCCAAAATATTGAGCCCACAAGTGTAAGGCCCAAATAATATAATACATTGTCAGTAGAGACGAACAAGGAGACCGACGACGAGCTAGAGAATTGAGAGCTCTTCGACGAGCTGGAGACCTCTAAACGAGCTAAAGATAGCTCACGAGTGCCAAGTGCCGAGCCCCGAGCAACGAGCCGACGAGCACCGAGCTCCGAGCGACGAGCCGACGCACGCTGAGCGCCGAATGACAAGTGCCAAATGTCGAGCGGCAAGCAACGAGCTGAAGGTGCAACCTCATATCTTAAACACTAATGCATATGAAATATCTTCATAACTTAACCACGAAGACTCATAAAGTTCCATGGACATCAAACGACTCTATTAACTGAATTGGATAAAATGAGTGACATTCGAAAATCCTCTTCTATAAATAGAGGGTTCATCACCCTCAAGGTAAGCATTCTGGATCTCGACACACCATATTCTCTCGAATATATTTATCTCCAAATCTTTGAGGTGTTCTAACTTGGGCGTTGGAGTGCTAACGCCGGGAGCACCTCTCCCAGTCCCTTTTGCAGGTCCGTGCCGAACAGGTCTAACATGAAACGGACTCGAAGATTCGAGATTCCTCGAAGCAAAAAACCCAACCGCATCAATTGGCGCCGTCTGTGGGAAATCGAGTTATAAGACGTCGATTTCCAATCCTATACAATATATGAGGTTCTTATTAGTCTGTTCATCATTTGTCAGTGGGTCTTATTCTCCTTTGATGAATGTAAAAGATACAGAGCAACTCTGCTTCGGAATACTTATTATTGGGTACACAAGGGCAAGATTAATTGCATCAAAATTCTCCTTCCCACTTTATTCGTGAAATTTTGGGATTCTGTTCCCAGAAATGGTATCCCCTGATTTGTATCATCCTTTGCATTATTCCATTCCCCCATTATTCAGCCTTTTCATGACCGAGTGACGTCGTCGCATTGCTCAACCACCCCATCGTCGCTCAAATTTTACTGATTCCTTGAAACCCTGCGTATTCACCTCAAGCCTTCGATAATAACAACACGATATATATATATATATATATATATATATATATATATATATTGATAAACGGAAATTACAGATAACAGAGGTTGAACCGGGAAGCTTAAACACAAGAAAAGCTTCGAGAATCAAGTCCCAAACACTCAGCTCTAACCTAGAAGACCTTAACCTAAAATCAGCTACCTCGATCTCTCAGCTCAAACTTTCCCTATTTATACCAACTCTATAACTAGAAAGTGCTATTAGAAATAAAAGCGCAATAACATTTCTTAAGCCAGCAATTCTTCCTTCTCTTCCTCTATTCTTCGGCCACGTGTCTTGTTGAGAGCCGCTACTAATAAAAGCGTGATAATACACGAAAACGCATAATAGAAGTGCATTTTTTAGCTGAACCGTAGTAATTTATATTCTGCAAATATAATTCTAATATTAAATAATCTGCATGTCATCTTCTCCATATCTTGCTCCTCTGTATGTCTTCTCTTCTTCTTACTATAATTGGATCTTCCGGATTAAGCTCGTAACAATGCCTCCCTCTAAAACGTCCTTGTCCTCAAGGACAAAAAGTGGGAAAGCGCCTCTGAATGTCCTCGCAGCCCTCCCATGTTGAATCCTCATCTGGAGCATTGAACCATTTGATCAGCCATTGAGTGACTGCCCTATTGCCCTTCTGAATTAACATGCGATCAACAATAGAATGTGGTTCAAGTAATATGTGCCCGTGTGCAGTGATTGTAGTGGGTAAGTGTTTTTGGCTGATTAAAGATCCTATCTTCTTCTTAAGTTGAGAGACATGAATTGTAGGATGGATCTTAGAATTCTGTGGCAATTCCAGTGTATAAGCCACCTCTCCAATTCTCTGTAGTATCTTGTAAGGTCCAAAAAACCGAGCAGATAGTTTGTTGTAAGTTTGAGTCCTAGCAGATAGATGTCTATAGGGTTGCAACTTCACAAACACCCAATCTCCCACCTGAAAAGTCTTTTCACTTCTCCTCTTATCTGCCTGCATTTTCATTCTATTTTGTGCCCTTAGCAGCTGTTCTCTTATCACTCTGATGGTTGCTTCCATATGTTGCAAACTCCTATCCACCATTTCATTAGAGGATGCCATGGGAATGTAGGGTAAGTGAAGAGGAGCCTTCTGACCATACATCACTTCATAAGGGGTAGTCTGCAAGGATGAATGGAATGTGGTATTATACCACCACTCTGCCAAAGGCAGCCATTGAGCCCATTCTTTAGGTCTCTCACCACTCATGCACCTTAAGTACCCCTCTAAGCACTTGTTCATTATCTCAGATTGGCCATTAGTCTGAGGATGGTAAGCAGTTGAGGTATGGAGTTGTGAACCTTGAAGCTTGAAGAATTCTTGCCAAAATTTACTCATGAAAATGGGATCTCTATCACTGACTATAGTTTTGGGCATACCATGCAATTTATACACATTTTCCATGAAAAGTTGTGCCACTGAACTGGCTGTGTATTGGTGTTTCAAGCTCATGAAGTGTGCACATTTACTCAATCTATCTACCACCACTAGAATGGTGTCCTTTCCCACAGAAGCCGGCAATCCTCCAATAAAATCCATGGAGATGTCCTCCCATATCTTTTCAGGGATGGGAAGAGGTTGTAGCAACCCTGGTGTTACTACAGTTTCCCATTTATTCCTCTGGCACACATCACATTGTTGCACAAATGTGTGCACATCCCTCTTGAGTCCCTTCCAATAAAAAGTTTGTTTAATCCTTTGTAAGGTGCTGTGGATTCCAGAATGTCCTCCTACTGCAGCACCATGGAAATGATTCAAGATTTTTTGTCTAAGCTCCATTTCCTTTCCCACCACCAATTTTCCCTTCCTCAACAACACTTCAGCATTCCAAGAGTAAGATGGTTTGTTGTTTCTGCCTCCCTTCAGATTCCCAATGATCTCTTTGAGCTCTAAATCAGTGGTGTAAACCCCTTTAATTTCTTCCAAAAATGAACATTGAGGGATGGAGAGTGTAAAACAACTAATTTCTGGAATAATGATTCTAGACAGCCCATCTGCCACCACATTATTTTTTCCCTTCTTGTATGATACTGAAAAATCATACCCTAGCAACTTCACCAACCACTTTTGTTGAGCTGGTGTGGCAACTCTTTGGTCCATTAGGTATTTCAAACTTTGATGATCTGTCTTTATAGTGAAGTGATTACCAATCAAATAAGGTCTCCATTTCTGAACAGCAGTCACCAGTGCAAGGAGTTCCTTCTCATATGTAGACAGAGCCCCTTGGGTCATGTTTAGGGCCTTGCTCATGTAGGCAATTGGTCTACCTTGTTGCATTAACACTGCTCCCATTCTAGTTCCAGATGCATCAGTTTCAATGGTGAATTCTTTAGAAAAGTCAGGAAGTGCTAACACTGGGGTTTGGGTCATTGCTTTCTTGAGAGCATTAAATGCTTGTTGAGCTTCCTCACTCCACTTAAAACAGTCTTTCTTTAATAACTGAGTTAAAGGATGAGCTATCTTGCCATAATCCTTGACAAACCTTTTATAGTACCCAGTCAAACCAAGGAACCCCCTCAATTGTTTAATTGTTTTGGGAGTTGGCCACTCAGACATGGCTTGAGTTTTATTGGGGTCAACTGCTACTCCTTCTGGTGTAATTACATGTCCAAAGTATTCAATGGAAGAGCTTCCAAAAGAGCATTTATTCTTCTTGATAAACAATTGATGTAGTCTTAAGAGTTCCAGAACTGTACCCAGCTGCTCTAAATGAAAATTCCAACTCTTACTGTAGACGAAAATGTCAAAAAAAAACTAAAACAAACTTCCTTAGTTTCTCTTGGAACACCTGCTTCATGAGGCTTTGAAAAGTGGAGGGTGCATTAGTCAGCCCAAATGGCATAACTAGAAATTCATAGTGCCCATGATGAGTTCTAAAAGCTGTTTTCATAATGTCTTCTTCTTGTATTCTGATTTGGTGATAATCAGATCTCAAGTCCAGCTGAAAGAAAACCCTTGCCCCATGCAACTCATCTAGTAATTCTTCAATTATAGGAATGGGAAATTTATCCTTAACAGTGTTTTTGTTTAGCTCCCTATAATCCACACACATCCTCCAAGAATTGTCTTTCTTTTTCACCAACACTACTGGTGAAGAAAAAGGACTACTACTGGCTCTAATCACTCATGCATTAAGCAACTCTTGCACTATAGCCTCAATTTCATTCTTTTGCACAGCTGGATACCTGTATGGTCTAACATTGACAACTTCTGATCCTTCTTTGAGGTGTATCTTGTGATCATGGTCTCTGTGAGGTGGTAGACCCTTAGGTTCCACAAATAAGTCTGCATAATCACTTGGCAACACTTGCAGTCCTTCCCTTTCTACACATTCCATAGCATTCAAACTAGCAATGCATTCTGGTGCTCTTTCCACTTGATCAGTAGTAAGATGAGCTGTGTCCACACTCATAGCAGCTCCATCTTGTAAGCTCCCAATGCATTGGTAAGCAATTTGGGAGGGTTTCTGCAGGATCTTGTTCAATTTTTTGTTGGAGACCAACTTAACTGAGTTAGGTTGGAGACCCCTCAACACCACATTCCTACCCATGTGATTAAATTCCATCTTCAATTGCAAATAGTTACTGCATATATCTCCCAAGGCCACTAACCATTGAATGCCAAGTACTAAGTCACAGCTCCCTAATGGCAGTGTCATGGCTTCAGCAGAGAATTCTACCCCACGCATTTTCCAGGTGAAGTTTGGACATTTGAACCTTGTAATAAGCATGTTCCCTCCAGGTACATTCACAGATGATGGTTTCATTTCCACCAGTTCACATCCTAATGATTTTGCAGTCTGTTCATCCACAAAGTTGTGGGTGCTCCCATTGTCAATCAAGATGTGTATGGTTTTTCCCTTTGCTGATCCTGTGAGTCTCATGTTTCTAAAGTCATGAGTGCCAGTCATAGCATGCATGGAAACTTGAGACAGCTGTTCCTCTCCTTCTTCAATTCTTTCTTCAGTTACCACACTAGGACTGTACTCCACTTCACTTTCCATCATTGTTTCATCCTCAGGTATTTCCATCACATACATCTGCCTCTTTTTAGTACAGTTGTGGTCCCTAGAGTACTTCTCATCACACCAGAAGCATAAGCCCTTGGATATTCTATCATCAACTTCTTGGTTGCTCAGTCTCTTGTTTTGGTTGAAGGATTGGGTCTGGTTTCTGTGAAAGGTTGAGCTATTTCTGTTAGATTGTGGGCTAGGATAGTTATTGGCTGTATAGGTGTTGGAGTTTTGGTTGGGGTTTCTACTGATGGTTAGGGTGTTAGGTCTGTTGGTAGTGTATGAAGCTCTGATAGGGTTCTGGATAGGGTTATGGGTAGGGTTATGGTGTTGGCTAGGGTGTTTTCTAGGGGATAAGGTAATGGTTTGTTCTTGTAGCTTAGCTAGGCTCACCACTTCCATCATGTTTTTGGGTTTAAACATTTTGATATGTAGTGAAATCTCTGGTTTCAATCCCCCTAAGAAGCAGCTCACTGCATAAGGTTCCGAGAGATCCACACAATTCATTAATTCATCAAACCTATCAAGGTAGCCTTGTAAAGATCCAGTTTGTTTGAGGTTCATTAACTCAGACATAGGATCTTTGAAAAACAGGGTACCAAATCTGCTATTCAAGGCTCTGATATACTCTTCCCAGCTTGGAATCTCTCGAGTGAGATGAGCATTCATGAAGGTTTGGTGCCACTGAAGAACTCTCTCTTCCAAGTGTACCGCTGCCAGCTTCACTTTTGAGCTCGATGGTGTGCCATCTACGTCGAAGAATTGGTCACACTTATACACCCATCTGCGAAGGTTTGTGCCATCAAACTTCGGGAATTCCACCGAAGAACACTTAGTAGGTAGTTGATACTCTGTACCCCATTGAGGACCTTCCTGATTCCCCAGATCTGGAGGTCTGCCACCATTGTCATGTGGAGCTGCTTGCTGTTGTAGTTTGGCCATCATCAACGTCATCATAGCACGGTTTTCTTCCACACTATTGGCATTAGCTTCAGATATGGCTTGCATTTGTTCTCTCATCATATCCATATCCTTCCTCAGCTCAGCAAATCGAGTACCATCTGCCATGATATGCTTCACAGAATCGATGGCTCTGGATACCAATTGATAAAAACACAAAATATATATATATATATATATATATATATATATATATATATATATATATATATATATATATATATATATATATATATATATATATATATATATATATATATATATATATATATATATTGATAAACGGAAATTACAGATAACATAGGTTGAATCGGGAAGCTTAAACACAAGACAAGCTTCGAGAATCAAGTCCCAAACACTCAGCTCTAACCTAGAAGACCTTAACCTAAAATCAGCTACCTCTCTCAGCTCAAACTTTCCCTATTTATACCAACTCTATAACTAGAAAGTGCTTTTAGAAATAAAAGCGCAATAACGTTTCTTAAGCCAGCAATTCTTCCTTCTCTTCCTCTATTCTTCGGCCACGTGTCTTGTTGAGAGCCGCTACTAATAAAAGCGTGATAATACCCGAAAACGCATAATAGAAGTGCATTTTTTAGCTGAACCGTTGTAATTTATATTCTGCAAATATAATTATAATATTAAATAATATGCATGTCATCTTCTCCATATCTTGCTCCTCTGCATGTCTTCTCTTCTTCTTACTATAATTGGATCTTCCGGATTAAGCTCGTAACATTCGACCAATACACCTCCGCCGTCGCTCGACATTTCCTTGAGGCTAGGATTGACGGCATTCTTCGAAGCGAACTCACCGAGGTTACTTGATGGATAGCTAAGGATGCACGGAGGTTCAGAATCCGAAATTGGTTAACCAAAATGGAAGCCATCAATGTAGAGAAACCATTCGATAAAAAGTCCCAGAGAGGAGGCTCTCGGCTGGAAACTTTTGCAACTGTACGCCCAGACTCATCATTAGCACCTCATCTGCTGGCTCTCCACTTACAGTTGCATAAAGAGGGAATTTTCGTATTTCGGAAATATTTTTCTTGCGAGAGGCGAAACAATGAATATTTTGATTTGTTGATATCCTATATATCATGTTCAACTTTGTTTTGACTTCACAGGAGATCTGGCTGATTTTGTAAAGCTCGGAATTTTTCGGAGGAGACCGACACTTATCATATTCTTCAAAAGGGTTCGACACCATTGGATATTTCCAAAGACCCTGCTCATGTTTGTTTTGCGGAGCTCGCATTCACGTTTCAAAACTGAATTCATGAAGACTCAAACTTCTTCTTATCACTTGACGAGGAAAATGATTTGTGGATCCACTCACGGAGCCTGAATTCCGAGATGAAATCTATGGTTGGATTTTCAATTCCGGCCATTCACCGAGCATAAATTCTTCAAAGCTGCAATTATTACCTGCCAAACACCCAGCTCACTATTTGCATTTGGTTCTCCAGTACATCCATTGCAATCTCATAACATGGAAGTTTTCGAAATTTATAATGTCTTCTCTATTAATGAATATTACTATTTGTTGATATCATCTATATGCGCGCAAATTTTTATGTCATGAGCATGTTAACGGTACAATGAACTCGAATCTTTGAATTCCCTTTAGGGCAATTTATGATTTTTTTTTTCTTCTAAAAATGGGATTTTGCTGATATTTGGATATATGTTTATTGAAGTTAGATATTTTGTAGCTCGATTACCGAGCTAGGCTATGGTGCTCGCCAATAATTTCTAAAATGAATCTCAAACGGTATGATTATACATGAAAAAATAATCGTAATCTGAATTTTCCATCGATTTTGATGAACTATAAATTTGTAAAGAGACTGGCTTGAATATATTTTGCTAGAGGTTCGATTGACCTTGCTATTTGGTACAAGCATGAAGCATGTCAGCTCGTCTGAGTGAATTTTACTTGATTATCGTATAATGTTTGCTAAATTTGTCATTTTCGTATGATAAGTGATTATATCATGACCATGACTATCAAATTTAATTCTTGGGGTAGCATGCTTACTGCGAGTAAGGCTATTTTATGTCAATGCACCTCTTGTTTGCAATTTGATTACTGTTTTTTGTTCGTTTTTCGTTGTGTGATAAATCTCAAAGGCAATAAGTGTTTATATTCTGAAAATTGTTTTGAGAAATCTTGTTTAACCGATAAGCGGTGAAGCTTTATGCTACTATGTAAGATGATGAATTTGAGATCTTATATAACATGCTTGAGTGCGTTTAAGAGTTAGAATATGGATATTTTTGCTATAGGATTCGGCCAGCAATTCTACTCGCATTGATTTTTCTAAAATTGGATTTTGTGGTTATTTGGATATCTATTAATCAAAATTAGGTATTCAATAACTTGATTTTGATATTGCAGAGTAACTACAACTTTGTGCATGTGCTGATTTCGCAAGAGGTTTGGATTTGTTTCGCTATTTTGTACAAGCATGTTAGCTCGTCATTATATCGCATACTATCTGCTAAATTTATTATTAAATATATGGGATAAGTGACTCAGTCATGACCCCGATTATTGAATTGAATTCTTGAAGGAGCTCGCCTGCTGCGAGTAGGGCTATTTTACGTGAGAATAGCTACCAATGAAGGTTTTTCTACCTAATTGAGTTTCTTGTTTGCGATTTGATATCTGTTTGTTATTCGTTTTTCGTTGGGTGTAGAGTAGAGTAACTCGCAAATTACTCTATTAAAGCTAGTGACTAGGAAATATATGCGAAGTTGTATACATTTACGGGGTCTGGCTCCGTAGTTTCTCTTACTTCTCATAACATCGAGGGGTTTTCTACATAAAATGTTTCATGTTTTTTCCTCAATATAACACGAAGAGAATGATACTATTGAGATATCTCTAAGTGATTAATTCACCGCAAGCTTTGATTCTAGCTCTTTTCGATTACATAAGTTGGAATTCAAGTTGATCTCCGTAACCTCGAGTTTGCTCATCGATGTTGAGATTTTTTGGAGCTCGCATTTCTCTCAGACAGCTCGGATGATTCCTTGAAGGTCGAAAGCTTATTCCCATGATTCACAGAGTTGAATTGCTTGAAGTTCAGATTTCCCGAATAATTTTATTTGTGGAGCTCGAAGACACCCCTCGAAATTGGTTTTGAAAGGAGCCTCGAAAGAAATACTTACAGCTCGGCCTTGAAGGAGCTGTGCCGATCTGATTTTCCCTAGCTTATAAGTTTGCCGAGCTAGTTTGGACCCATCTCTCGAGAATGGATCTCTGAAAGTCGCATTTACTTCTAATGGCTCGAATTGATCTCGGTCACCTACATTTTCGGTAGCTCATGTTTCTTCTGCTAGGTAAATTCGAATATAATGATGTAATAAATATCTCAATATTTATTTGTGTAGAGAAAAAGCTTTCAAGATTTTTGATTATTCGGAAAATGTTGAAGCTTTGAAATGTTCTGTGAAATTAATTTGAGATCTTACAACAAATATGTTTTCCACGAGGTCTGAGTTTGCATGACTTGGCAAACAAAAAATCTACCCGGATATTAGGAAACACGAGCTTCTCATACTTCACCATAGCGAGCACGAGCTAGACGAAATGAAAAATCTATCCGAGTATTAGGGTAGCGAGCACGAGCTCGTTAAACAGAGAAAATATATCCGAGTATTCGGGTAGCGAGCCCGAGCTCGTTAAACAGAGAAAATCTATTCGAGTATTCGGGTAGCGAGCACGAGCACGTTAAACAGAGAAAATCTATCCGAGTATTCGTGTAGTGAGCACGGGGTTGTTAAAAAGAAAATCTATCCGAGTATTCGAGTAGCGAGCACGAGCTCGTTAAATAGAGAAAATCTATCTGAGTATTCGTGTAGTGAACACGAGCTCGTTAAAAATAAAATATATCCGAGTATTCGGGTAGCGAGCACGAACTCGTTAAACAGAGAAAATCTATCCGAGTATTCGTGTAGCGAGAACGAGCTCGTTAAAAAGAAAATTTATCCGAGTATTCGGGTAGCGAGCATGAGCTCATTACAAGGGAAATCTATTTGAGTATTTAAGTGAGCTCGAGCTCGTTAAACAGAAAATCTATTTAAATGTATTGGGAAGTACGAGCTTCACATACTTCATGATAACAAGCACGAGCTTGATTGAAAGAATAGTATCGATCGGAATATATCAAAGTAAACATAAAATAAGAAATAAATCGACAAGCATGGAATTGATATAACAAAGCATAGAAAATTGCATGGAGAATAAGCCAACAAGAAATCGTAGCATCAATAAAACCAAAGAAAAAAAAGGCTAAAGACATAGTCGAGGGGTTAAGGAAATATCGTATACTCCAAGCTACTGATTCGTATCCTCGCGCTCAACTTGGAGTGGATGACTAGTTGATCCAGACAGATTTGCAGGGCCCAATAAAAGGAAGGGCCAATAGAGATGGCCCACACTCCAGGAGGAGATAAGACTTGTTGAAAATTTTGAGTATTGGACTCAAATTTTGTTGAATATTTAAGTGGTTTAATTTAGATTCTCAAAATTAATTTTTGATAAATAATATATTAATGGATCATTTAAAATATTTAAGTGTGGAAAATAATAAAGTGAAATGCCACCATTGAAAAAGATGGAGGTGTTTAAACACCTATTAAATGGAATAGGTGTGTATTTAATGAGAAAATGTGTGATACATTTTCATGAAATTATTTTCCTAAGAGTTGTGACTTGTGGTCATAACCTTTGAAAATCTATAAATAGATCCCAAAATCCACCATTTGATTTATTCATTTTTCACATGGGATTCAATACATTAATTGAATTCACTACTCATCATAACATATCATTGCATATTATTGCAATTATCAAGTTCTATTTCTTCGTGTCTTATAAAGTCGTAAACGTCGTTTTGTTCGCCGTATTCCAATAATTGTAGTGCTACTTTGTTGGAACTGAAATAGTCGTTGTATCTTGGAGACGATTGCCGTTAACCGAGAACACTGTACGAGGCAAATTTGTCTTAAGGAGAAAGAACCGAGTTCTTGCCTCGACTACTTTTTCGTGTCAAACCTCTGTTCAAAATTTTGTTCATTCCCATTTCGAAATACACACACCCAATTAACAAAGACCACATGTGATCTGGGCTTATTTGTGTTGAAAGATTTTGTCAATATTTGGTTGGTTTAACTTTGTCCTATTCTATAGGAGATTAGTTTTGATTTAGTCATTTAGCATTCAAAAGTTGTTAGCTATTTTCTTGGTATTTTCCGTTATAGTTTTGCCTATTTAGAGATGATTTCTCAATGAATAAAATAGTGCAGTAAATTCTTTCTTCCTCAGATTCTTTGTGTCTTCTTTCTCCATGTTGCTTTAAATAATTATCAGTGGTACCAGAGCGAGGTTAGTGTGAAAAAAAAAGGGAGAGAGAGGGGAAGTCGAGATCCACAGTTAAGAGTAAACCACCCAAAAGTTTTAATTGTTTAGTTTGCAGCAGCAAGTACTGAACAATGGCATCAGAAAATTTTGTTCAACCGGCAATCCCACGCTTCGATGGTCATTATGATCATTGGAGCATGTTAATGGAAATTTTTTTACGATCTAAAGAATATTGGCAGATTGTTGAATCTGGGATAGAGGAACCAACAATCGGCATAACGTTGTCAACCCGAGCAGACCTCGAAGTGTTGCGGCTAAAAGATCTTAAAGCAAAATCCTACCTTTTCCAAACGATCGATCGTTCAATCTTGGAAACCATTCTTTGCAAGGACACCTCCATACACATCTGAGATTCCATAAGGAATAAATACCAAGGTTCTACAAGAGCAAAGAGGCAGCAACTTCAGTCCCTTCGTACGGAGTTCGAAACACTTCGAATGAAGTCGGGAGAATCAGTGACTGATTACTTCTCTCGAACAATGGCTATCATAAATAAGATACGGATTCACGGTGATAAGACAGAAGATGTGGTCATAGTTGAAAAGATTCTCCGATCCATGACACCAAAATTTAATTTTATTCTCTGTGCTATCGAAGAATCTCATGATATTGACGAACTTTCGATTGATGAATTGCAAAGTTCATTACTTGTTCATGAGCATAAAATAAACCAGGATGATAAAGAAGAACAAGTGCTGAAGGCTTCCACGGAAAATTATTGGGTGTCAAGAGGAGGTCATAGAGGACGAGGACGAGGTCGAGGCCGAGGCCGAGGGAGAAGCAGAAGCAACAATGATTATTGGAACCAACAACAAAACCAATATTATCATGGAAGAGGTAGAGGTCTCACAGGTTACCATTCAACCGATGATAGCTCAATGTCACAAGTCCAATGTTGAATGTTACAGATGTCATAGGTATGGCCATTATCAATCAGAGTGTCGAACTGATTTCAGTAACCTAATCGGAGAACAAACTAACTTTGCCGAAAAAGAATAAGAAGAGATATCTCTGTTGATGGTATGCCATGTGAAGGAAGTAACTCAACAGAACATCTGGTATTTAGACTCAGGTTGCAGCAATCACATGAGTGGAGATAGAGAAGTATTCTCTGAGTTGGATGAATCCTTTCGAACCTCCGTAAAGTTCGGTGACAGCTCCAAAATTTCAGTTATAGGAAGAGGAAATGTAGAAATCCAAACAAAAGAAAATTTCAATCACACAATTGCTAACGTATTTTTGGTACCAGCTTTAAAGAGCAATCTGCTTAGTGTTGGTCAATTACAAGAGAAAGGATACGGGATTTCTATCAAAGATGGAGTATGTCATATTCGAGACGCAAACTTGGGTTTAATCGCTCAAGTGAACATGACGGCAAATCGTATGTTCCCACTATATCTCCACAACACGACTCATTCGTGTTTCTCGACGAAATCGAAAGATGAGGCGTGGCTATGGCATTTTCGCTCTGGGCATCTAAACTTCAACGGATTGAAAACACTGCAACAAACAGAAGATGATGGTGACAAGCCTTCCCCGAATTACAGCTCCTGCTCAAGTGTGTGAAGAATGTGTTGTTAGCAAACAACAACGAAATCAATTTCCACAAGGAAAATCTTGGAGAGCAAAGAAAGCTTTGGAGCTTGTACACTCCGACATTTGCGGACCGATAACGCCACACTCCAATGGAGGTAAAAGATATTTAATAACTTTTATTGATGATTATAGTAGAAAAACCTAGACATATTTTTTGCTTCATAAAATCCGAGGCTTTTGTAGCTTTTAAAATTTTTAAAGCTTATGTTGAGAAAGAAGTTGTCTTGCAAATAAAAGTACTTCGTACAGACCATGATGGAGAGTACAATTCACAAGAATTTGCAATTTTTTTGTGAATATCATGGCATCAAAAGGCAACTCACAGCTTATACACCCCAGCAAAATGGTGTATGCGAAAGAAAGAACCGCACTATTATGAATATGGTACGGAGTCTTGTGACAGCATTCCAAAACAATTTTGGCCTGAAGCAGTCATTTGGAGCATTCATATATTAACAGGAGTCCCACACTTGTTGTTCAGAACATGACATCAGAGCAAGCATGGAGCGGAAGAAAACCTACAGTTGACCATTTTCGAATTTTCGGGTGTATCGCCTATGCCCATATCCAGACGAGAAGAGAAAAATGCATCTTTCTTGGTGTTATTAATGAGTCAAAAGCTTATAAACTTTATAATCCTAGCACCAAACAAATTGTTATTAGTCGTGATGTTGTCTTTGATGAGGATAGCACCTGGTCATGGGATCAAATTGGTGTTAAAGAACATATTCCAGCAGATTTCGAAAATGATGAGAAAGGGCAGCAACCTATAGAAAATGAGCAAGAAGTGGAAGTCACTTCGATTGTTCCTACAATTGATCAAAGTCCAATTAAAGTGAATCTCCACTTACAGCTGAACCTCAAAGGCCTCGACGTGTTCGAAGAAATTCAGCATATATAAATTATGATTTATCTGGATTTGATCAAAGTGATGATCCATTAACACACTTTGTTTTCTTTTCAGATTGTAACCCGACCATTTTTGAAGAAGCTGTCAAAGAACAAAAATGGAGAAAGGCTATAGATGCTGAAATTATAGCGATTGAAAGAAACAATACCTGGGAGTTGTGCAACCTTCCAAAGGGGCAGAAAACAATTGGTGTAAAGTGGGTTTACAAGACAAAGTTGAAGGAGAACGGTGAGGTGGACAAACACAAAGCACGCTTGGTGACTAAAGGTTACAAACAAGAGTTTGGCGTTGACAATAAGGAAGTTTTTGCTCCCGTTACAAGGCACGACACAATCAGATTTGTAATTGCACTTGCTGCTCAAAACTCCTGGCTTATTTTTCAATTAGACGTGAAGTCGGCATTCCTCCATGGAGATTTAAAAGAAGAGGTATATATCTATCAACCCGCTGGTTATGTAAAATTCGACAATAGACATAAAGTGTATAAATTAAAAAAGGCACTATATGGTTTAAAGCAAGCTTCACGAGCTTCGTATAATCGTATATAAATATATTTCTTGAAGGAAGGTTTTCAGAAATGTCCTTATGAACATACACTTTTCGTAAAAGTTGAAGATGGAGGAAACATTCTTATTATCTCCTTGTATGTAGATGATTTAATCTACACTGGAAATAATTTCGCCATTTTTGAAAACTTTAAGAAATCCATGATGGCTGAATTTGAGATGTTTGATCTTGGTTTAATGCACTATTTCTTGGCCTTGAAGTAGTGCAGTCCTGTTCTGGAATTTTCATTTCTCAAAAGAAATATATACAAGAAGTTTTGGCTAGGTTTCAAATGAAGGATTCTAATCCCGTAAATACTCCATTAGAGTTTGGAGTAAAGCTAAGTAAAGATAATGGAGGTAATAAGTTCGATAGCACTCTCTACAAACAAATTGTGGGGAGTTTAATGTATTTAACGGCAACGAGGCCTGATATAATGTATGCCGTAAGTAAGATTAGCAGGTACATGGAATGTCCTACTGATATGCATGTCTTGGCTGCAAAAAGAATTTTTAGATACTTGCAGGGCACGAAGGAATATGGTTTGCCATATAGGAAAGGTGAAAATCGGAGTTGGTTGGCTTCACAGACAGTGATTATGCAGGAGATTTGGACGATCGAAAGAGCACTTCTGGATATGTTTTTAGGATAGGGACCGCAGTTGTCTCATGGTCATCAAAGAAGCAACCTATTGTCACATTATTATCTACCGAAGCTGAATTTGTTGCTGCAACAGCTTGTGCTTGTCAAGCTATTTGGCTAAAGAAATTTCTTAAAAGAGTTGCTCCTCAAGGAAGATGGAGTTGTTCAGATTTATTGCGACAATAGTTCGGCAATAAAGCTTTCACGAAATCCAGTTTTACACGGTCGAAGCAAACACATAGATGTGAAGTATCGTGTCTTGAGAAATTTAGCAAATAATGGAGTCATCGATCTTCTTTACGGTAGAAGTGAAGATCAAGTTGCTGATATTTTAACCAAACCTCTCGAGTTCCCTGCATTTCAGAAAGTTGCTTGGCGTTTGTCTTTTGGAGAATCCAACACTTCGCTGAAAATTTTACTTTGAATCGGAATTTTGTAACCTATCAGTTTAAGAGAGGGAATGTTGAAAGATTTGGTCAATATTTGGTTGGTTTAACTTTGACCTATAGGAGATTAGTTTTGATTTTTAGACATTTAGCACTTAAAAGTTGTAAGCTATTTTCATGGTATTTTCCGTTGTAGTTTTGCCTATTTAGAGATGATTTGTCAATGACTAAAATAGTGTAGTAAACTCTTTCTTCCTCGAATTTACTTCCTCAGATTCTTTGTGTCTTCTTTCTCCATGTTACTTTAAATAATTATCAATTTGCCCATTTCATTGGATCTTTATAAATGACCCAAAACATTGAGCCCACAAGTGTAAGGCCCAAAGAATATAATACATTGTCAGTAGAGACGAACAAGGAGAGTGACGACGAGCTGGAGAATTGAGAGCTCTTCGACGAGCTGGAGACCTCTAAACGAGCTAAAGATAGCTCACGAGTGCCAAGTGCCGAGTGCCGAGCCCCAAGCGACGAGCTGACGAGCACCGAACGACGAGCCGACGAGCACCGAGCGACGAGCGACGAGCCGACGAGCGCTGAGCACCGAATGACGAGTGTCGAATGTCGAGCGGCAAGCAACGAGCTGAAGGTGCCACCTCATGACTTAAACACTAAGGCATATGAAATATCTTCATAACTTAACCACCAAACTCATAAAGTTCCACGGACATCAAACGACTCTATTAACCGAATTGGATAAACTGAGTGACATTCGAAAATCCTCTTCTATAAATAGAGGGTTCATCACCCTCAAGGTAAGCATTATGGATCTCGACACACCATTTTCTCTCGAATATATTTATATCCAAATCTTTGAGGTGTTCTAACTTGGGTGTCGGAGTGCTAACGCAGGGAGCACCTCTCCCGGTCCCTTTTGCAGGTCCGTGACGAACAAGCCTAACATGGAACGGACTCGAAGATTCGAGATTCCTCGAAGCGGAAAAACCCAACCTCATCAAAGTAAAATAATAACCATAAAAACATAAAATTTACCTCAAATATCTCGTCGTTCATGTCGAAATTAGCGTTGTGAGAATTCGTGGATTGAAAAAGGTTGAGAGAGTTTTAAGATTGAAGGATTTTAAAAGAGAGAAAAGTTAATAAGAATGAAAACACCTGCAATCTAATAAATATTACAATGTCCATATCATTTCAATTTATAAAGGGAATGATTGTTTTATTTTGTAATAAAACATATATTATTATAATTGCTCAATGCTCATGAATGAAATATTTTACCACAGTCGGAATTCCTCAAACTTCAGGGCTTGAGCTCATTCAATTGGATCATTCTAAATATTGGATTCAACGCAAATAAGGTTTAAACAATCAATCATATACAAGGCCCAAAATGGAAAAAATATGGATCCGTACCCGATAATACGGATCCGTACCCGGTAAGCGACTTGAAACACAAGTGGTTTGGAAATGGGTTCAATAATTGTGGGATTTGGTACAATAACTTGTTTTCTTTCAATCTGAACCATTGAGTTTTGTCTGTTTTATGCGATCCAAATTGAACGATGAAATTCGAGACAAACATAACATTCTGTTTGTTTCTTTTAGGGTAAATAGCACTTAAACTCTCTGTGGTTACAAACTTTTGTAGATGAGCTATTTGTGCTCGTAATATCAGCTCATAACTCCCTTGTGGTTTAGAGGTAGTTTCCATTAGTTTTTCTGTCAAATTTAACCGAATGTGTCAAGCTTCAAAGTTTTTTGTTTTTTTTTTTTTTTTTTTTTTTTTGCAGATAAACCCCTTGTGCTTATATTTTTCCTTTCATTTTGCAGATGACCCACTTGAAGTTTGACACAGGCGGTTAAGTTTGACGGAAAAACTAACCGAAGCTATCCCTCATAAACCACAAGAGGGGTTATGTGCTGATATTACGAGCACAAGAGGGTAATCTGCAAAAACTTGTAACTATAGAGGGTTAAGTGCTATTTACCCTTTCTTTTACCACTAGTTTGATATATATTATAATATTTTATATTATATAAAAATGCAATCAAACACCTAATAAATAATAAATCTTACAATTAACATCATTTTATAATTACAGGAGTAAAATTGGAATTATTCGAAAAATATTGTTGAAATCTAAAATATTATATTATATTATTATTCATACATTAGAGGAAAAATATTAGACATGCATACCTCAAGGCCTCGTTTGGTTTGGGTGATAATGGGTGATTGATTAATTAGTCCAACTCAATCACATGTTTGGTTTGCTTGACTAAGGCCCATGATTGATGACGGGCCCGGTTCTTAATCCCTTATTTGAGGGATAAATTATCCACCCAATATTGGGAGGATTATCCAATTGGGAATCAGCTTTGTCCAAGTGGCATATTTTGTGGACACTTTAACCCTCCAGCATTAATTGAATCTCAAATATCTATTTTTTTCCCACCATCCCACCAAAGTCTTGCTACGTTTTTTTCTGGAATAATTAAAAGCAAATCCCCATTTCCCCCATTTTGTTTTGGTTTCCAGCAGGTGAGCCTTCCACAGCGAAGAACACACGCTTCCGAGGTAAATGAATTAATTTTTTCTTAATACTTTACATACCTGAATCGCGATGTACTGTTTCTTAGGAAAATATTGCAAATCACTAATTTTTTTTTTTCCCCTTAGATTTGCAGCAGGGGTTTCTTTCCGCACCGAAGAACAAACCCTTCTTCGAAGACTACCTGAGGTAAATGATTTTATTTATTTTTGTACATGGGCATTACATTCTTGATTCACCATCTATATACCCTATTCTGAATTTTGGAATCGAACATTTAGTAGAGTTCCTCCAATTGTCGGTGCTCCCTCTGCAGCCGGTAAATAGGTGAGGTGAATCTTCTCTGACCCATCGATAATTTTTAAATATTTTTTATCTTATATATACGGTATTGTAGACCTATGAGTTATGTAATTTATTGTACTTCATACATGATTTAGCTTTGTTATTGACTCAGTTATTGCACTTTCGTACAGTTTTTGTTTGAGATGGATATTAGAGAAGAGCATGAAGAAATCTTGTTGGTTTTGGAAGAAATAATTAGCATTTCCAAGTATTTCCTTATGGCATGTTATGGGGCTTATCGTAAGTTGAAAGAACGTCGCGCAATTCGTAATCGTATTGTGCGTTATTATGTTTCCTATAGTTTGAATGCTCGAGTGCCCGATCAATTAGAGAAAATTAATAGGCTCATTCATGGTTCCGAAGTTTATTGTTTTGACAGTTTGCGTATGTCTAGAAATGTATTTGCCCGTCTTTGTTTTCTTGTTCAAAATTTTGGTGGCTTAGTTGATACACGCCATGTCAAAGTTAATGAACAATTGGCCATTCTTGCATATATTGGGACATCACACAAAAAATAGGATTGTAGGGTATAATTTCAACAGATCCGGGTACACAGTTAGTAAGCACTTCATTCGTGTTCTGAGTGCTATAATTAAGCTATATCCCTTGTTCATTGTGAAGCCAAAACCTATTGACGAGGGCTGTACAGACGTTCGGTGGAAAGTGTTCAAGGTAATAAACACATTTTCTAAATTTAATATATGTATGTAAAATAATTTGCAAAGCAACTATTACGAAAACTATCGGTTTGAAACTGTGTAGGGATGTTTGGGAGCATTAGATGGTACTTATGTCAAAGTTAGGGTTGCCCAAGAAGATAAAGTGCGGTATAGAAATCGAAAGGGAGATATCTCGGTAAACGTGCTAGGTGTGTGCGATGCAAGTATGTGTTTTAGTTATGTTTTGACTGGATGGGAGGGTTCTGCGGCTGATAGTAGAGTCCTTCGAGATGCCGTTTGTAGACCGAATGGTTTGAGAATCCCCGACGGTATTGCATATTCCGAAAACTTTTTCAATTTTGATTCCACATATATGTATCTTGAAATGATTTTTATTGTGTTGGGATTTACAGGAAATTACTATCTTTGCGATAATGGATACACAAATGGAGAGGGTTTTTTAGCCCCGTATAGAAGTGTGAGGTATCACTTGGATGAATGGGATGGTAATAATGCGCCTCAAAATTATAAGGAATTTTTCAATATGAAGCATGCGAAGGCTCGAAATGTAATAGAAAGATCCTTTGGGCTGTTGAAGTCACGTTGGGGCATCTTGCGCACTAGTTCGCATTATCCTATCAAAGTCCATAACCGTATTATCATGGCGTGTTGCTTGTTACAAAACTTTATTCGTAAAGAAATGGCCGTCGACCCATTGGAAACAAGACTTCCACCCATCCACAATCCCACTAATGATCCTGAACTTAGATTTATTGAAAGTGTAGAAACTTCACAACAATGGGTGTCGTGGAGGGACGATATTGCGAGAGCCATGTACGACGAGTGGAGGAGCAGACGATAGTTTTAGTTAATTTTACTAATTTGCAACAATATGTATTTTTTTTAATTATGCTTGTGAATTTTTATTTTAATTGTGCATTTTTAACTGTATTAATCTGAATTTTATTACTATAGTTTATTGTGTAGTTATTATTTGATTGTTTTACTTTATTCTAATACAATATATACGTTGAGTTTAGTACAGGTTATAATGAGTGGTAGGTTTACTACACTTAATGCAGGAGCAGGTGAAATGATTAACATTCTCCTTGGAAACGTATGAAATTTAATACTTATTATCAGCTTGTACACATAAATGGGTAAAATAAACTACACTTAATGCAGCCAGAGGTGAAATAAAGTGGAATGATTAACATTCTCCTTGGAAATGTAAAAAAACAAGAAATTTAAAACATATTTTCACCTTATACGCATAAATGAGATTAAATTACTACACTTAAATGCAGGCAAAAGAGAAATGATTAATATTCTCCATGAAAACGTATAAAAGCAAGAAATGTATTAAAAATTCTCACCTTATACGCATAAATGGGGAAAATTTGTTGTTTCTCAACTACATAGCATTAATTATGTATCAGAAAATCAAAAAAAAAAAAAAAATCAATTTGACATGACAAGTCTAATTTAATTTATAATAAACAACAATGCAATGAATATAGACTAAATCCATGTTGATCTGCTCAAATTAATACTTCAAAAAAATGGAGGGGCTGCAATTTACAAAATCAAATATAAACAATTGTGAAACAACATCCTGGAATTAATTAAAAACGATCTGTTCTTTTAATTTGCATACACACCACACCACCTATGACATAGTCATCATGATAAACATTAAGAACAACATAACAATTATAGAAATCCAAGCAAATAGCTTAATTGATTTTACTTTATTTTTATACAATAGTACCTGGCCTTCTAAAGTAGATATCTCTTGTTCGTAACCATTAATCTTTGCCAACAAACCAGAAATTACCTCAATAGACGTCGGCTCGCGAGTGGAATCGTCACACCATTTGAAGAAGTTACAACGATATTCCTACAAAAACCAATTTCACAACAATAAAATTAAACCCAGTATACTTATTAAACCAAGATTAATGAAAAATGACTAATAAAAAAAATACAGGCACAAACTATTTCAATTAAATAATTTCAATTATAAGAACTTGCCTTTGTCAAGGAACAACAGTAAAAAAGTCTTCCTGGGTTTTTTTCCGTCCTCGACGTTTTTGTTGTTGTTTCCAGACCGCAATGACAACGGAAAATTGACCCATAATAATTTGGATTAGACGCCACACTGTGATTCGAACTGCTGCTTGCCCGATTACGCACATTATTTGAACTCGAACTCATCCTGTCAAAAGATTTCACGAGCATTGTAATAAACGTTCAGATTGACGAATGTAAAATGCATTATCCTATACAAAAATAAATTTAATTTACCTAATTCGCATCCAAGGTTTCTCTGTTGCAGGGGTTGAAGGAAGAAAACCCTAGATTCAACCGTAGTGGAATTGGGGGCGTCTTTCGGTTTTTAATTTAATTAAATTTTACAACTCTTTTTTTAAGGGTGTATTGGTATTCGGGTTTTTTTTTAATGGTGTTTTGGTATTTTACCAAACAATTTCAATAAATAAATTAAATATTATGATTTTAAACTAACCATCAATCACCCAAACCAAACACGAGATAACTTGGATTTGAAAAGGTTTGAACAGTACAATCCTTTGACTATTTATCAATCCTTACAATCCCATAACTCAAACAAAAACGAGGCCCAAGGGGTAAATATAATCTCACAAATAAGATGAGATATTTTGTAGTTCTAAAATAATTTGTGCATGCGCTATTTAATCGTGTATGCACTTTTTTTTTTTTACTATTTTTTAAAAATCAAAAGGTAAATTTCTACAAAAACTCTCTCAAGCTCTTGGACTACGATTTCAGATCCCGACCGAGACGATAACAGATCGGAGGTAATTCTTACATTTTTTTGATTGTTTCGTTACGTAGATTACGATTATTGATTTTTTTTAAAACGAAGCATTTGGTTTTACTCGCGTGATTCTACACGAGTACAGTGGAGTTACTCGTGTAGACCCATGCGAGTAGATGAATGTGATTTTTTTTTTAAATACATATGTTTTTGATTGAAAAATATTAAAAAAAATTGAGGTCATGTGTTATTATGCGAACAGGGGGTTTGTGCTCGTGTCAAACCACGCGAGCTCAGTTCATCGAGCTCGCATAAAATTACACGAGCTCCAATTTTTTCTTTTTTTTTTGGTTGCTTGTGTGAAAACACGGGAGCAGATCTATTTTCGTCGCGTGCCTGCACACGAGTAAAATTGGTCTACTCGCGTGTTTTCACACGAGCAACTTTTTTTTTTTAATTTTTAATTTTTTTTTAAATTAAATACTAATTCAGTTTTTCTGTTAAATTGTAGATGGCCGGAGGTAGAGGGAAAAGTTTAATGAGTCAAGTTGCGGGAAAGGGTAAGAGTTTAATGAAAGCTTTGGGTCGGAAGCCGAACAATCTCGATGATCCGGATCGTATTGGAGATCAGGGAGTTCTTGCATCCGATCGTAGAAGGAAAGCGACGGCAAGAGAAGAAGCAAAGAGAGTGAGGAAAGAAGCTACTGTAGTCGGAGTCGGGCCTTCTGATGATCTTCAAGTCAGTCATGTTCGTATTCAATTGCAGTACGCGTCTGATGATGACGAGGAGATGGTGGCTAATGATGACGACGATGATGACGAGGAGATGGTGGCTAATGATGACGGCAATGATGATCATGATGGCGGGGAGCCGACACGTAAAGGTGGTCGTGGCATAAATTTTACAATTTTGGATGGTCAGCCGTATTTGGAGGGTCCGTGCGAGGGAGGGCCGGAAAATTTGGAGTTTATGCGTTGGTTCAAATCGCATATAGCGATCTATGTTTGGGATGGACATATGTAAGTTTGTTTTTAATACGTGTTTTATATATTTTTATAATTTGTGTTTTCGCTATCTAAAAATGCAATTTATTAGGAACGTTGTGCTACTGGACGGGTCAAGTCAAGAAATAGAGCACTAGAAACCTACCTTGGCCCGCAGGATGACATGATGATTAGCAGGTTGGAGGCAACCGATACCACTTACGACACTGTTGGCTCCCCAATATGAATCAACAAATAATGTTAGCGTTCGTTGAGAGGTGGCAGCCGGAGACCAACAGTTTCCACATGCCATGGGGAGAGATGACGATCACGCTCCACGACGTTGTTTTCATTAGAGTGTTCCCAAAGTCTTGCATCTCTATTGGGGCTCGGGGTGATGACTACGACTGACATGTTTCGAAATAAGGGAATTAATTGGACAAAGGTGCAAGAGCTCTTGAGCAAGCCATCTGCCACGGACGAGAAGAAGATGCAAGGAAATCTGATGTTTCTACTCGGGTCAGTTTTGTTTGTATACAAAAGATCTTCGATGATGAAGCCGTGGTGGATAGATTATACGAATGATATCGACGGAGTCGGCGGTATTCGTGGGCTGCAGCTTGCTTAGCAAACATGTACCGACAATTAGATATTGCTACTCGCGCTGGGATGAACGGACTTTGTGTGTGCCCGATTCTCCTTCTGGTAATTATATTACTATTTTCTAACTTTTTGTTTATTTATTTATTTTTGTACAATATTTGGTGTTTTTAATACGATCTGTGTTTTTTTTTTTTTTGCAGTGTTGGATATTTGAGTATTTCCCTTGCTTTCGACCAGAGGTTTCCCCGACATATACAGAGTTCGAGCCCCGGTGCAGAAAGTGGGCCTCTGGCGGTAGTTGTAGGAAGAAATTGCAGTATTATCGGAAGTTGCTCGACGAAATGTCAGAAAGAGATGTAAGTTAGTTTGTAATTTAGATAGAGCATGCGTTCGTAATATGTTTTTTCTAACTTGTGCCAAACTTGTATAGGTTCACTGGACACCATATGGGGCTAATGCACATTACCAGATTTCTCGTAGTATGTATTACGGCACTATACAGTTCATGGAGATAGTGGAGCCGTACATGCCAGACCGTATTATACGGCAATATGGTAGAGTCCAGACGATCCCGTTTCACATTATCGAATTTGCTGAGCCCCACCACCGCGGTATGTATGCTAAGGGTTACAAGATCACATTTCACGCATCCGGCGGCATGTGGGAGAATGAAAATGCCAACTTCATTAACTTATCGAACTACGGGAAAGCGTGGCCTCCTGAAACAATTCATCCAAATTATATGAAGTGGTATGTGAAACGTATGCACCAGTATTTGTGCAACCCCACAAGAGCGTCAGCTTCAGTTCAGCCCGTTATTGCCCCCCACCAGATCAGCCGTTTGCGAACGAGATAGTTCGTCTCCTATTTTCGATCGTGTACGGATAGAATGGGCTTGATGCGGTAGAACAATTTATGTCAATCCAGCTACAATTACTTGATTTGATGATGCCCCATGCTCAGTATCTCCATCTTGTACCCGGGAGGGGGAGGGGGAGTGGGGGACCGAGGACTAGGGGTAGGGGATCGAGGGTTAGACAGTAGGATGGTTATGACAGTTGTTTTCCATTTTGACTATTATTTTCCATTTTCATTGGTTCTGTACTAGGATGATTGTTACTCGTTTTTCTATTTTGATTGTGTTAAACAATTACTTGTTTTTCTATTTTTATTGTGTCAAAAAATTACTCTATTTTCTATTTAGTATTTTAAATATGTTGAAATAAAAAAAAAAAAATTTAAAAATTGTACTCGCGTAGGTTTACACGAACAGAGACTATGTACTCGTGTAATTCTACGTGTGCAAAAACTCTTTGTCCGCGTAAAACTACGCGAGTACAATTTTTAATTTTTTTTTACGCGACTTAATTTATTATTATTTAAAAAAAACTTACTCGCATGATTTCACGCGAACAGGGATGTTTTGCTCGCGTGAAATCACGCGACCAAAACTTCCCTGTTCGTGTGAAATCACGCGAGTAAGGTTTTTTTTTTTAAATTATGTTACTCGCGTGAATTCACGCGAACAGAGACAGTTTGCTCGCGTGATATCACTGAGGATGGAGACGAGGTAGAGGGCAGTAAATCGGTACTCGAAGGATCATAAAATGATAGTTATATAACGACATAGGAATAATATTTGATAACGCGGGATTCCCAACTAGAGGTAGATAAGTAAAAATATCGAACTCAGTGAATATTAGCACCATTGCGTTGTATCTCGTAGCAATTGCCAGTCCCATATCTGTTGACATCCATTTGGTCTGTGGCGCAGGCCCGCTTTCATGACTGCATGTCATAATATGATCAGCGACTGCATTACGACCCTCTTCATCTCCACCAAATATATCAACATATAAATGATGGCGTTCCATAAACTCTGCAACCAAGTTTGTTCTTACTTGTGGCCATCTTTCTTGACTTCCATAAATGATTCCGGCAATGCATCGGTACCCACAATTGCCATCGACCGTCACATTAACATACGAGGCTATAGATTGTGCGAGAAACGAAGGAAGAAAGGAAAAGAAATTGACCCATTCTCCGGCAGTTACAACCGATTCTTCCGTAGATTTAGTACATTCGCGACCACAACCTTTGAGCTTCGATTCTGGCGTTCCTTCAGTCGGTTATTTAGTTGGGATTTTGCACCCCCCGACCCCGAAGATGATTTCACTTCCGTTTTCCGATTCATGATGTGCTCATATCCGGACAAATCACGCTTCATCGCGTTATTCTTGGGCCGTCCCTCGGCCTTCACAAATGACGGCTCTTCCAAATGTGTTGAGGCAGGATTATTTATGTCCAGTAAATAGTTGGCTGCATTTTTTTGGGACATGTAATCCATCTTCGATAATTTCTCGAACTCGTCAAAAAGAACTTTCTTAATTACAATTGCGCGATCAAACGGTTCCTCATCTTGGTATGGAATTGTCAACGGCTCAACGGTCAATGTTCTCCAAAATGGATGTATCTCCTTTCGCAATTTTAACTGCGATTTGACACGCACACGGGAGACCGTGTGTTCTACTTAGGTAGCAGGTACATCTATCCGGATTCTGTTGCAATTTCTCCAACTCTTCATCCAAAAGGTCCAATGCATTATGTGATACGTTGCACATCAAAGCACCAAAACACGGATATGAAGTACCGTACATTCTGACTGTTCTGTTTCTCTCATTTTTTCCCCTTAAATTCATTAATTTGAAGGTGAACTTGCGCATCAAGTTGATTTTGCACATTATCAATAGCTCCAGTCGATGATTGAAACCAACTCTTCGATGCACGATGTGCACTCTCCACCCTATTTCAAAAAACAATCAATTAATACACACATGTAACATTTTACATAACAAATATTAAAAAAAAAACATGTTGTATACCTGTTTGTCGTCGTGCTACCAAAATGGACGACGTTGTTAGTCCAATACTTTACAAATCTCTCCTTGTAAATCAACCACGTGTGATTGACGTATGTTATCAACTTGGGATATTCCCCGTACAAACTCACCATCTCGCTATAATTGAATCCATACTCTTCCTCAGTCTCCGAATTCAATAAGTCTCCAAATTCAATAACGCTTCCCAGACTGTCCTCCGGAACAACACACCGTGATTTTTACTGCCCAAGAACTTTGTCGCATTTGCCTCAACGTTTATGTTTATGTGATATAAACATAACATGTGATTCGACTGTGAAAACATGTTAGCCAATGCTTTCAATAGGCCCAGCTCACGATCTGTCAGTATCACTTTCTGCTTCCGACGGTAATATATCTCGCAAACATATCAAAGTCCATGTATAAGTGTCCTCATCTTCACGTGACATAAAAGCAACAACAATAGTGAAGTTCCTTCCCACCGGAGTAATCCCAATGATTTCCAAAAGAGGCATTTCATATCTACATGAAGGTAATTAAAATTTTATCAACTCGTAAACATAATAGAATAAATTAAAATTCACATTTAAATAAATATTACATTTTAGTCTTGTAAGTGCAATTCATCAGTATAACGTATGTAAATAATTGCAGAACGTTGATTGAATGGGGGTGCGCGAACATAACGTCTTGCACTGTATCGCTAGCTGAGTTTGTTCGATGCCATTTGTTGTATCCATTTTCACTAAGTTTGTGCCACAGATGTTGCACAACTGTTTTTCCTTTCATTTCCTCTCGTCTAATTTTGGCAGATTCATTGTACACATCCCTCAAAGCCACATATGTATTCGGATTAGTCTGTCTTAAGTGATGCAAAATTTCCTTCGGCTTCACGTGACTGTTCTTCAGTAACTTTGTAACTTCTCGTTGCTCTTGAGTCAAGCGACTTAACGAACGTATTCCTTGTGGATATTTATGAGAATTATGATTATGATTGCCATTTTTTATAGTAAGACGCCATAATCCATCACGACCCTCTTTAACCCATAGCGCAAAAGGACACATGCACTTCATTGAACCAGACTTACGGCTTGTTACGACACCGATATTTTTTCCTCGTCCTTTATAGGCCATTTTACACGTCAGATATTGTCTGCCTTCGTGAAAAGACTGACGTCTAATCTCATGACCATGACTGACGGCCATGTTCATCGTCCACTCAACCAGTGCATCTTTACTCTCGAATGCAGTAGAAATTATGAAAAATTGACTAAAATCATGTAACTCGGATACTTCCGTATCTTCATCAACATTTATGTATACTTCCTGTTTTCAAATAAATAAAGTAAGTAAAATATATATTATTTAAAAAAAATATTAAAAAAAAAATTGTGCTAGCGTGATTTTACGCGAGCACCGACTCAGGTATATTCACACGACCATTGAGAAGGTGCTCGCGTAAAATAACACGAATAAAAAAAAAAGAAAATTATTCATCTTCTCGTGTGATTTTGCACGAGCACATGGCACGTGGTCGCGCAAAATCACACGACCACAAGAAAAAAAAAATTCAAGTATTCGTGCGATATTACGCGAGCACATGCCATGTGCTCGCGTAATATCACATAAGTACTTGAAGATTCGAGAAAAAAACGAAAATATTACCTTCGGGTCTATATTTGTCTGATCCATTTCAGAAATTGTTGAATATTTTTTTTAAATGAATGTCCAAATGCGGGTTTTAAAGGATTATAGGATTTGGAAATAAAAATGTAAAATGGTAAAACTTAAAGTAAAAAGGTAAAAAGTTATGGTAAAAAAAAGTTTGTACGCCAAAATGGCGCCTGCGTATAGAACCACCCTTATAGGTCTTGCGTGAAGTGGTTGTTCAGTTGTTTGGTTATTTGTAATTTGCCCTTGAAACTGATCTCCAACTTTTTTTTAGCTAATAAATAAATTGTGCTTATTTTACATACCTCTTAAGTACCAAATAAACTAGGGATAAACCCAAACTGAATTATTCCTATGATATACCTTTCTGGAGAGACGAAAGTACTACACTACCCTTATATGCAATTTTCGATCAAACTACATTCAGCATTTCTGGTCCTGCATTTAGTGTTTTAACTAATTTATTTGTTATTATTTTTCTTTTTCTTTTTTCTTTCTTTTTTTCCTTTTTTTTTAATCTGTTTGTTTAATTTATATATTTCCTATTAATTTTTCTGATAATTTTTATTTATTTTTTTCAACTTTTTTATTAATTTTTTCATTTAAAAAAAAATTAAATTTTTAAACTTTTTTTTTTAAATCAATATGTTTACTGTACTGAAAATAACTACATGTAATTGTATTAAACTACAGTTATTTTTAGTTATGTTTTTTACCCCATATTTTTAGTCAATCAATTATGTAAACACATGAATACTGGCTTATACAAAAGAAATTCATAAACCCCAACAACAAAAAAATACAAATTTCAATATTTAGATTATAAATCACCTCAGAACCAATAAAATACAAATAAAAAATACACAAATATATGCATATGTTACATGTAACTGTAATAAACTACAGTCATTCGTAGTTATGTTCTTTTTTTTACTCAATATTTTTAGTCGATGAATCATTTACATGTACAAATACTGACTTATACCAAAAGAAATTCATAATTCCCAACAACAAAAGATTACAAATTTTAATATCTATATTATAAATTACCTCGCAAACAATAAAATACAAATCGAAAATACACAAGTATATGCATATGTAACTACATGTTACTATATGTAACTAGTAATGTACAGTAATGTATACAGTCTGTTGAACACTGTAACTTGAAGCAGTTGTAACTTCAACCAAATTTTTTGTTACCTTCAAGAAGAGCATCAAATGGCCTTCATTAAGCTGCAATAGCAAAATCAAAACCAAAACAATTATTTTAGTGCAAATCAACAAAAAATGAAGAAACATCAAAACACTCAATCAACAAACACTAAGATATATATATATATATATATATATATATATAGAGAGAGAGAGAGAGAGAGAGAGAGAGAGAGAGAGGCCATAGCTGCGAAATGCTATGAATATTAGATCAACCCGCCAATAACTCCTCACCCCAAGCGCCTCCTACCAAAACCCTAGCCGTCGCTAACCACCCAAGGTTCTGCGCTCACAAATGAAAAAAAAATATAAAAATAAATTTGACAGTAAAAAAATGAACGGAATTAACATCAAAATATAGATCTCGATGAGAAGAATCCAATGGTGGGTAATCCATCAAATTCCGGCTGCCGGAACACAAATTACACCTCCGGCGAGATCCACCGTCGTTGAAATACGCACGGACTGCAAAACAATTGCAGAACCAGATCGAGTGCTCCAAACTGAATGAAATCACCACCAAAATAATGAGCTTGACGAGAGGAACCCAACTATAGTTAATCATCGAATTCCGACCACCGATGAGAGAGTTGTGACTCCGGGAAATAACTTTGCCGGTTGGAGATCTATGGGGTCGAAATTTGAATCTGGGAGTTGAGAGAGGAAGAGAGAGACGTCTGTGAGTGGCTCGAGTTTAAAATTGATTTTATAATGGCATTTTAAGTACTTTAGGGTGGCCGAGGGGGGTGTGTCAAATAATTTTCGAAATGGAGGGGGTTTGCATTAGTGTGAAATCCACATGGTAGTTAGTCATATATAATTTTGAAATGAGGGGGGTCTCCAAAATAATCCGGTCATTAGCAATAAACCCCCCATATAGTTAAGAAATGGTGATATGTCCACCCCTTAAATTTTTCTTTGTGATAACCCCCTAGAAATTTTATTCCCAATTCTACCCTTATGCCAATTAGCATAATTTGTCCAAATTATTCTTTTTTTCTCTATTTCCATAACAATAATCTAATTTCTAAAAATTTGTGTCCAAATTCCTAAAGATTTTCTATCGATCAAATAAAAAAATTATTATTATTATTTTTTTATCATTTTCTGACTTTATTTAGCCATTTTATATAATTTTTATTTTTTATATTTTTTAATACAAATAGTTTTTTTAATTTATTTTAAATAAATAATTGAATTTTTTTTCTCGACAGGTTTACAACGTCGAATATGACTATAGTTGAATATGACTATATGTGACTATATCAACTATAGTCATATTCTTTCTTTATTTTGCAATTTTTTATATTTTCAACTTAAAATTTTTGATTATATAGTGTGGTAGCATCATGTTTATCAAATTATATAAAACAAAGAAGATTCCCTATTGTTTAAAAAAACAATCCAATCAACATCCACACGAAAAATCACAATTTAAATCTTGTTATTATAAGTCAACTTGAAACGAGAAGATAAAACATATTCCAATATGACTCAACAATAGTCATATTCGAAAAATACATAAATATGAATATAGTCATGTTACTGCTGATGTTCTGTATTTTCAGATCTGAAAAAAAAAAGAGAAATCGAAAAATACATAAATAAAGAGAGAAAAATAACGAAAGAGAGGGAGGGGGAGTCAACGACAATGGCGATGGTGAACGAAAGAGAGAGTGAGAGAGGCGGCGACGATGGTGGTGATGGACAAATCTGGAAAAAAAAAAACTGAGAAATCGAGAAAGATAATGAAAAAGAGATAAATAACCTTACATGGAAACGAATGAGGCGGCGGCGGCAACGAGCGACGACGATGGTGGTGGTGTACAGATCTACGTGGAGACGATGGTGGTGTAAAGAGAGAGAAATCGAGAGAGACAACGAACACGAGAGACAAAGATTATTTATGTGGAGACAAAGGGCGAAGCGGCGGTGGCGGCAACGACGGTGGAGGAAGCTTGGAATTGTCGGAGAGAGTTGAGGATTTAGGTGGAGAGTTGGAGAAAAGAGAAGATGAAAGTGATAGAGGTGGACAAATAATTAGGGTTATAGTAGTTGATCATATTTTTGTCTTCTCACACTAGTTCAGGGGGATTTCAGAAATTAAGAATGAAATTTGGATGTAGGCAAAAATTTTTTGAAAGTCAATTGAGTTTAGTTCAAAATATTTCTCATTCGAAGGGGTATTGCATATTTCCCCATAAATAATTGTGATGTTTTTTTTTTCTTTTTTTTTTCTAGTATATATATATATATATATATATATATATATATATATATATATATATATATATATATATATATATATATATATATATATATATATATATATATATTATTGTTGTTTGAAGAGCTTTCTATTAAGAATACTCCCTGAATTATGTAATAAATTATTATCTCAATTTCTTCACCATTATAAGTTTAAAACATTTTCAATTATTCTTTCATCGATCTACATCTCTACATTTGTTTTATCATTTTCATTACATTAGACACTAATTCACATGATAATTCAACTCTATAACTATTTCCTCTTTTAAAGTGACCAGATTTTCTGATATTTGCGAGTTTATATGTTCAATCGAACTGGACCATCGTCCGATTCTCGAATAATCCGGTTTGACCGGCCGATCTGGTTGCGTCCGGATTTTAAAACAATGATCTACACATATTCTTATAATATACCTTATTTTGACATCGAAGTAGGCTTTCGTGTCTCATAATAGGTGCTTAGTTGGTGGAATAAGAAAGCGGTATCAATAGATACAAATTTGACTCTCATTATCAACGTTTTTAGGTCAAACTTGTATCATATGACGTATACCTATCGTGATAGTGCGTTTTACATCTTTCGTTACTAGTAAAAAAAAATGGTTTTTAAGTACAACCTTAACCGTAGCAAAATATACCAAATTCTCAGTAAAAAACTTTTCCTACACACTTGTTACGAATTTGTCACGTAGCATATATGGGTGTGACAAAAACCATAGCAAATGTTTTTTTGCTACGGCAAATACCAACATTTACTATAATTCTAAAATTATCCCATAGGAGAATGTACCTTTTCTTACAGTTTTTTACCGTACCAAAACAATACTGAATGAAAAGTCATTTTCTACAGGTGCATGTAATTTACAAACTTATGCACAACAGTAAAAATTTACCCATACACCTATATAATTCGATGTATGTCCCTTCATCACAGAACAAAAAAGTGGGCCTTAGGAGTTCTAGATCAATCTTTAGTAAACATTAAAAATTCAATCATTGTACTTTAAAAAAGAATTATATTAACTATTTATACAATAATAATCTCTAAATTTCAATTACAATTAACAACAAGTATAACAAATTCATTTTAGCAAATCTTACATGCACCATTGAGTAGAAATAATAGGAGTTGGTTGATTAAAAAAAATCCAAATTTATTAATTTGCATCTCGTGCCTAACAAAAGAAAATTAAAGTCAAATCAATTAATTTACTACCAATTAAATCAAAAGAAAATATTAACATACTAATTTAGCATCAACCAATATTCTTTCTGCAAAGGCCAACAACCTTTACCTACCCCCTGGCCCCCTCGCCGACCTCTCCAGGTCGGCAATTTGCTTCCTAAGGGCAAGTCAGTCCTTTCATATTACGTCAGCGCGTGGGAATACAAAATTCTCCGACTCGCATGTGGACACGTATGGGGTTCAATGATTGAGTGGCTGTGGCGGGACACGTGGCGGTATATTAGCTGGGACGCGCCATCTATCACACAGGGCGGGAAATTCCTTTCGAAGACCTTCCAGAAACTTCCAGCAAACCCCTGGCTGAGAATCGTCGAAGCATCTCGCGGATAGAAATTCGCCACGTGTAATGCAGACCACGTGACCGTCCGACGTGGCCACCTCCGCTCGCCCGAAATTGATACGGTCCTTTTTTTAATTTCTAATTTTTGTTTTTCTGTTTTTTCCTTTTTTAGGGCACTTTGCCCCCCCTACTCTCAAAGAAGAACGAAACCACCACCACAACTGCAAAAATTCTTTTTCTCATTTGCTATGTGAAATTTGACTGGAGAAGAAAAAGGGGGTTTCTGAATCGAACTACAAACTTGATTAGGAATGAACGTTGATGGTGAAGGAGGTGCGTCAATGGAGGAGAAATTGGTGTTCATGTGGGGGTATCTGCCCGGAGCGCTGCCGCAGAGGACGCCTATTTTGTCGCCGCTGGCGGTGCAGCTACCGCGAGGTGGGAGCTCGTGGAGAGATGTCTGCGGCGGCGGCTGCGGTTTCGCCATGGCTATTTCAGGTAATTTAGAGCTTAGTTTGTGTGCTTTTTTGTTTGATTTCACTTTCACAAATTTTCATTTTCGACCGAATTTTTTGTGGTTGGATAATCGGCATTGAATCTCCGGAGAAATTAGTGTGTAAATATTTTTACATTTTATGTAGCATTGTTAGTAATATTTATCTCTCTTTATCTGGTCTATAACTTTAAAAGCTTTACTGATTTGCCCATAGTTGTTTGGGTTTTCTCAAAATAAGGGCCTTCCAGCCATCTTCAGCTGTAAATGCTGAGTAAATATCCAATATTCTGAGCAGCAACTATGATATAGGTGGTAAATTTTAGTTTTTCTATTTTATTTCTATCGTACACGAGCTGTCATCGGATTTTCGGCGATGCGGTTGACCAAGTTAATTTTGAAACCGAAGAAACTCGTCTCTCAGTACGACGTTTCATTGAACTCTAGCAGTGCACTCTTAGTTTTGCTTCTTAAGATTAGTCAATTGTGCACCTAATACAAATTGTAGAAGGACAACATGGAGTATTTTCGTGATTTATGTTTAATTTGGGATTTTCATTTAAGCCCGAATAAGTGCGTATAGCTGAATTTATTGTTGCCAGACGGTGGGAAGCTCATTACATGGGGATCAACGGATGACCTAGGTCAAAGCTACGTGACATCGGGGAAGCATGGGGTAATGTAATGTGGCATGGTTTTGTTTTTTATGTAAGCTTTGTATTCAATTTTCTATAACCTATTTCTTGCACTGATATTGTCAAGGAAACGCCAGAGCCTTTTCCACTCCCCGCTGAGGCCATTATAGTGAAAGCTGCTGCTGGTTGGGCACATTGTGCTGCTGTAACAGGTATATATACATGTGTGTGTGTGTGTGAGTGTGTGTGTGTGTGTGTGTGTGTGTGTGTAGCCGCAGGCAAATTTCTTCTTGCTCGTATGATTCTGCTACATTCGTGAACCAACTAAACCTTCAATGGTTAAACATAGTCGGCAGTGAAGTTTACACTTGGGGATGGAAAGAATGTGTTCCTTCTGGCAAGGTATTAGGGGACTCTTCAGCAGGGTCAAGCGTAGAGAAGGGCATCTTTGATAAGCAAAGCTTATCGTTGACTGAGCAAGGTATTGCTATCTGGTCTCAATAGCCAGTGAGTGATATACAAAGTCTGATATTCAAGTATACACTGGCTAACGTGTTGACGAGTGACTCCATTACAGTGAGCCCTCGCTCTCATGGATCAAGATCGAGTGGTGGGTCAGTGTCTGGCGGTATTAGAGGTGCCGACGAGACTTCTAAGCGGAGAAGAGTGTCACCAGCTAAACAGGTGGCTGAAAGCTCATCACCTGTTGACGAACCTCTTTCGGCATTCCCTTGTTTGGTGACACTCAATCCTGGTGTAAGGATTTCGTCTGTTGCTGCTGGTGGTAGACACACATTAGCACTGTCAGGTACTTCCATCTGTACTTATTTATTTAATTGTGATATTGTTCTTGTAATTTGTATTTTTTTTGGCAAAGTTACAGATGTAGGACAGGTGTGGGGTTGGGGCTATGGAGGTGAAGGACAGCTGGGCTTGGGATCGAGGATTAGAATGGTGTCTTCACCTCATCCTGTACCCTGCATTGATTCATCTTTCAACAAGGATCGTGCTATGGGGCTCGCTCGTGGAAACATCGGTGCAGAAGGTCAGGTCTATGGAGTTCCTGGAAATTACATAAAAGCCATTGCATGTGGGGGCAGACATAGTGCAGTAATCACAGGTTCGTGGCTTTGTTTTGTTTATGTAGATATGTCAAATGTACTTCTTTTCCTCTCCATTCTATTTGTGTTTAGATCAAGTTGTTATATTTGATCACATTCTCTCTTTGTCAATTATGTTATGTACTTTTCGAGTATATCTTGCTGCAGTCTAACGTGTTCTTGTCAACAGATGCTGGTGCAGTACTAACCTTCGGGTGGGGATTGTATGGACAGGTGACAGTTTTAGCATTTACGCTTCATCATACTAGTTTTTACATTTTTCATATACGTATATTTATAAGACTTGATATGAAAATAACACTTTAAAAGTACGTGCTAAAGGAAATCCATGAAATTATTGCTAATGTGATTTTTAATCACGAACATAAGGAGCAGTAGGAATGAAATTCACATGAAAAGATACTCTTAAATCATGAACATAACGTGTTCTCTCTCTCTCTCTCTCTCCTTTTTTTTTCCCTGTGTGGTTTCTGTATCTCTTTTGATACTTATTATGATTGATTTAATCGATTAAACATTTGCTTATAAATTAAAGAAAAGGATTTTGGCTTATTTGGTGTAGTGTGGTCAAGGAAGTACAGACGACGAGCTAAGTCCCACTTGTGTATCTTCGTTACTTGGCATAAGGATAGAAGGTGTAGCAGCTGGACTTTGGCATACTATCTGCATTTCTGCTGATGGTGATGTTTATGCTTTTGGTGGTAATCAATTTGGTCAGTTAGGAACCGGTGCTGATCAAGCTGAGGTATATGCCATAACTTATCTTAGTGCGATTAATTTGTTCAGTAATTAATGTACATTCATTTCGACTACCTTACTGAACTTCATTAGAACATTTTCATTAAAGTCTACTTGGTTTATGGGGGTTGTATTTGATCCTGGTCTTGCCTTTTCCAAAACTATATATCGGTTTAATTTTATTCTCATTTCCAAAATTCTTACCTTTGTGGTTAATTTCTGTCAGACTTTACCACGACTACTAGAAGCTCCGAGCCTGGAAAATGTTAATGCAAGAGTTGTATCCTGCGGAGCTCGCCACAGTGCGATTATCACAGGTATGCAAATCTTTGTGATGAACTAGTACAACTTCAAATTTTCCAATACTGTGAGCATTGTGTAAGTAGTACATGAAGTTGGCCAAAAAATCTTGCTATAACTGATATTACCTTGCAATTGCTACCACGTGTATTTATTTTCCAGCTTGAATATTTTGAACTATATTTTTCTACATGGCATGTGTCGTCATGGAAATGATGTGATCGACCATAACAATTCTCCGTAAGAAGACACACTTAGAATTCATTTTCAAATTATCAAATAGAATTAACACGACGCTGGGGTGACTACCACAATACTGTTGGTCACAATGACAATGATATGGCAAAAGAAAAAAAAAATTGTATTATGAAAAAAAATGATAATTTGATTTATTTCCTATTAGAAGCCGGGGTGTTACTGAAACACGTTGGTTAAGTTTAAATCCCCGTATATGTAGTTTAAAGTTGTCACAGGTTTCTTACTTGTACTGTTATTTTTGCAGTTGTTAGTGTGTAGTTTCAAGTATGTAGATAGATTGTAGGTTCAGTTCCTAGTATAATGGAGTTCTTTTCTTAACTAACTGCCTTCTTTCTTTTCATGAAGAGGAAGGGAAAACATTTTGCTGGGGATGGAACAAGTATGGCCAGGTAAGCGTCTATCTTGAAACTTATCGAGCATCTTACATTAATCAGATTCTCTATATATATCTATATACACATTTATATGTCTGTATGTATTCCCCTATCTGTCTAGCAAAGTTTTTTCCATGTATCAAGATATTTCATGAACACATATATTGATAGCGTTATATTTTGTATACTTCAAAATATTTCGTGAACCGACTTGTCAGTAGATTTTTTTTTTCTTTTCTGTAGTTATACATTTTGTTGCTGATGTTAATTTTTACGTGATCAGCTTGGTTTGGGTGATGTGATTGACCGGAATACTCCCTGTGAAGTTCCAACTGATGGGTACGTCGCGAAAAATGTGGCATGCGGGTGGTGGCACACTCTTCTGCTGGCTGAATCACCAACTTGACTCGTGAATTATTGTTCGGGCACAGTTTTGTTAGGTTAGTGGTGACCTCTTGTATTTGTATTAACCCATATATATTGTGTTGCATGTGCAGTATGTATGTACAGTAGCTTGTATGCATATGCATAAGCATGTAATATGTTATTTAGTCCTAGGACTTGATTATCCAATTGACAAACCGGGGGTCGGAAAATTCGTCTGATGTGGAACTACCATCTGCGTTGTACATACTCATTCATGACTGTTGAAACTCTTCCAGATTAGTACTTACAGTGCGGAATTCTTCGTATCAATTTGTGCACTGAGGCAGGATGTAATTATTTTTATTTTTATTTTTATTTTCCAATTTCTTTGTGCTGATAGTTCTATCTGATTGTTTCCAGTTTCTGTTATGAATCAAGTTAGATTCATAATTCTGGAATTCGATTGCGTAGAAATTGTTGATTGATTACAAGAAAAATAGACGAAAAAAGAGAGAGCTGTAGCTTATGGGAACTACTGCTAAAGCTAAGCTATTCCAATTTCTTCATTTTCTGCACCAAAACTTCCTTTTATAGCCAAAGTACCTTGTCAGAAGACTTAGAAGTGCGACTCTTTAAGTGTACACATGCCTTCTCCCAAAACGATGGCGTATTATTTTTCTTAAGTTATCGTTACAATTTCTTTGTTCTGATAGTTGTTCTTATAATAGTTAGTTGTTGCAATTTCATTATTATACAATGGGTAAAGTTTATTTTACCTAATTGAACTATAAAATACCCCCTGAACTTCAAAATGAATCAAAATAACACACATTTTCTACAGTCAACGTTAAAAAAGTCACTGTTAGTTTTTGAACAAGTCCGTTAGTTTTAAAGTGTTTACACTTTTGCCGTTAATATCATCTTCCTCCTCCTTTCTTCTTCCTCCATTTCTTCATCCTCGCTTCTTTTTCCTCGATTCTTCTTCCTGCTTTCTTCTTCCTCGGTTCTGTTTTTCCTCCATTCCCTTTTCTGCTTTCTTCTTCCTCTATTATATGTCCATTGACCATACAAAGTGTGGGTTATTTTGATTCGTTTTAAAGTTCAGGGTAGTATTCTATATGTTGGGTATGGTTCAAGTACGTAAAATGAAATTTACAATTTGAATGTGGAGGCATGCGATGGTAGCCAATATTTGCAATCTCAAAATTACTAAGGACAAGAGCTTACTTAATGCAAGACTAAAATATAAATAAATTTATTAAAAGTAAGGCTGAAAATTACAAATATAACCCCAATATTAATTTTGATATTATTAATTTAAGTTAGGCCAACCTCTTCATCAACAAAACTCAACCTCTTCTTCTTCACACTCAATTCTACACATTCTCTCCAAAAAAAACTTTCATATTCTTCAAAAACCCTTATCAAACAAAACCCTCAAATGTTATTAAAACTTGCGAAGGAGGACATTATGGATACACACGACATCAATATGGAAGATTCTAAGGTCGAAGAACACAATGGGATAAGAAATATTGTATTTTTTTTTAGCTTTGTGGTCGTTTTTCTCGTTTTTCGAAAATAATTTCCCGTACACACAAATTCGACGTTTACATGTCGATATTTAGCTATAAAAAAGACATTATAGAGTTGAATTTTTCAGTTTCTGAAAAAATCGACGCCAACGTGTCGTTTTAATTTCAAAAAATCGACACATTGATGTCGAATTTTGAACAAAATATTGACACACAAATGTCGGTGAAAATAATCGACAACTACTTATTGTCGAAATTTAGTGAAAAATTTGACACCAGTATGTCGAAATTTTACAAGGCGGTGGTCGACTTCATCGGCGACGGCGCGGCGAATCTACAGGTGATCCTCTTCTTTCTTCCCTTCCATTTTTCAATTGTGTGTGTGTGTGTGTGTGTTTTTTTTTTAATCTGGTCTTGCAAGAGTAATTGATATAATTAAATTTTATTTTGTTTGTATTTTACTAAGGTCACTTGCACTTAAAATTTAATTTGGTCTTGCACTAAGTAAATTTTGCGATTGCATATAGTCGTTGTCGTATGCAATTGATGCGTTGTAGGTGAAATGTTAAATAAAGTGATGTAATTAAGGATATACAGGCTGTGAAATGATTTTATCCTAAAGTACAGATGAATGTACATATTTGCGAACCGATTTTCTTATCGATTAGACTAGTACTTCTTTGACTCGATTCATTATCCGAATCAATTTCCTATTCGAGTTTCAAAAATATTGGTTTTGTTTGATTTTTCACCAATTCTGATCCGAAAATATCAGAATTTAGAACTGTATTTTTATCATTCCGATTTTTAAAGTTCCATCTTTCGATTTTCCCGAATTTCTCTAGAACGAAATCGGAATTGTATATAAAAATTACCAAAAAATTTAATTTCCGATCCGATTTTAGTTCCGAATATTTCAATTGTTTTTGGAAATATATAATATAATTTGTAAACCCATAATATAACTTATGTTATATTTTTTATAAAAAAATATAAACATCAAAGGGTCTAGTAAATTAAATCTTTGGAAAAAAAATGGTATCAGAAATTATATGTTGGATTTTTTCTTCTTAGAAAATATTTGTTTCAATTTGTTGTTCCTTCCTACATATGGTTTTATTATTTATTATGTTTTGTCGAACTCTCTTTTAGATTTTCTTTCATTTTCCTGCAACATTTCGTAAAGATAGAAATATATTGTGGAAATTCTCATTATATCCGAATTTGGAACAAGATATTGATAAACTAATGTAATTTCCAAAAGTAAGCTGATTTCGAGGCATTCTGATATCGAAATGAACTTTTGCATTTCCATTTTTTGGAACAAAAATAGAACCCAATTTTCACTTCCGAAAGAAATTGAATTTTCGATGATTTCAGCAATGTATATATATATATATATATATATATATATATATATATATATATATATATGTGTGTTTTTGTGCATAAGTCCCCAACCAAACATCTTTATTATTCTAAGTATAGGGCCTATATCTCTTTCACCAATAAGCCCATCCCTTTAATATTTATTATAAATAAATGAAACATTCATGTATATGCCAATATTACCCTCAACCCTTTATACCCAATTCTTAATTGTAATCTCAATTTAATCAATTTGTTCACAATAATCCAATTTTGACCACAAAAATCCAATTTTGACTTTTTTTTTTCAATTTTTTTTTTAAAATTTGTTTTTTGTCGCTAGATTCTGGCGTTGACTTTTCGATTTTTTTTTTCTTCTTCCGGATTTTTTCGGCGGTCTCCGGCGTTGACTTTTTTTTCCTTTTCTTCTGGACTTTTTCGCCGGTTTCCGGCGTTGACTTTTTTAAAGTTTTTTTTTTTGTTTTTTTTACGTCCGTCGCTAAACGTTGACCGTAATTGTGCTGTCACTGACAGTAAATTAACGTAATTATACTGTCAATGACAGTTAATTAACGTAATTGTACTGCCGTTGACAATACATTTATGTAATTGTTCTGCCGTTGACAGTAAATTAACGTAATATTATTATTTTTTATTTTTTGTTATTTTTTTTTTATTTTTTGATTTGTTGACAAGTCAACGTAATTATATTACTGTCGTTGACAGTAAAATAACAGTAAACACAATAATATTACTGTCAGCAACATCAATATTATTATTTTTTTGGGGTTTTTGTTTTGTTTGAGTTATTGACGGAGTAATGTAATAATATTATTGTCTATGATTGTAATATTACTGTAAACACAATAATATTACTGTGGTTTTTTTTTTTTTTTTTTTTTTTTTTTTTTTTTGATAATGCAGGAACCCGCAGCCAACCATATAGGTGCACTGGGTAAACCTACACTCTCGTATAATAGCTTGCAAACCATACGAGAGATTGTTTTGTGGTTGACCGTAATATTACTGTTGTTATAGTAATATTGTTGTCAAGCACATCAATATTATTATTTTGTTTGGATTGTTTTGTTTGTTTGAGTAATTCACGGAGTAACGTAATAATATTACTGTGGTTGACAGTAATAATACAGTTGTTATAGTAATATTACTGTCACTCACAGTAATATTAATTCTTTTGGCTTTTTATTATGTTTATATTTGCTGAACGGTCAACATAGTAATATTACTCTATTAGGGTAAATTACAAACACCCCCCTGAGGTATGGTCAAATTACAAAAACCCCCCTCTTGTTTGGATAATTACATCTACCCCCCTCAACTATGATTTTTTCTTAGACCTCCACCTTTATGGTGCCAAATTCAACATAGTCATCTAGATTCCGTGAAATGTGCTCTAGTTTGTACTCTTTTTGTGTAAAAAATACAGTTTCCGATGCACCACAAACTGATATATACAAGCTAAAAATCACATATTATGGACATCTTGCTTCATAATCTAGAGTTTGAATGGGATAAAACGGGTACAAAAGTGATAATATTCCATATAATCTCGAAGATTCCACTAAATTTGATGAGTTGAGGGGGTGGTTGTAATTATCCAAACAAGAGGGGTGTTTTTGTAATTTGGCCATACCTCAGGGGGGTGTTTGTAATTTACCCTACTCTATTACACAATAATAATGAGTTTTTTTGTGTTAATATTACTGTGCTAGAGATTAATATAGCAATATTACTGTGTTAAACTGTAGTTTAGTTAATTTTACTATATTTAACAGTAATATAGTTAATATTACTATCAATCACAGCAATATTGTTGTTTAAACGAAAAAAAAAGTTACAGAAAGAAAGAAAAGGAAAAAAATCGAAAAAGTAAAAAAAAATCGAAAAATTCAACACCGGAATCCGGCGGAATTTTTATTTTTTTTTGAATTTTTTATATATATATTCACACTAGTAATCAGGCCCCGTGCGTTGCACGGGATACCATTACAAAAGAGAATAAAATAATTATTTAAAATTTAATTTGTTGAATATATTGAAATTAAATAATTGAGAACACATGACATCATAAAAGAATTATAAAAAAAAAAAGAAAAAAAGATAAACAATATTGAATACAATTAATAATAGTTTTCATAATTGAACAATCTAACCCAAGGCTTCATATGTTGTCGAAGTCTAGCATATCATCATTTGACACCTCTTACTTTGTTGTTTCTCAACATCCTCAAGATTGATATTTCGGAATCCGTGACAAAGTGTACGAAAATACACTTTAGTTTTGATAAAAAACAAAGAAAAAAATTATAAAAATAAATAAATAATAAAATAGTAGATGGACATAGAAATAAGAGGGTCTCAAGGTACACCCAAGAATTGTTGTTGGTTTCAACCTCCAACGAAGATGAATCATTCACAATCCTAATTTTGATTTAAACACAAAAGAAAATTCAAATATGAGGATTTTCTTGGAATATATATGAATTTATTATATAGTGGATGTGGGAAGTTATTAATTAACGGGGAGTTACTCGAAGTGGGGAGTTGTTGTAAATGTGTGTTATTAGGAAAATTATAGATAATAAATATTACTGAAATAGGTAGTGACGATTATAATTGTAATAAAAATAAATAAACTTAAATTTCATTAATAGCATTAACATTTCTACCGATTTGATAATGCAACATGATAACTACGCAAAATGCTTAACAAAAATTCTTCTATCTCAATTAAGTAGTTAGATCTTGTTGCGGGTCGTATTTTATTGTGCAATTCTTTTCTCGGATGCAACAAAATCAGTTTCGCGATCACTTCACTCTACAACTGAAATAGACGACTATGTGCAACAAAACTTTGCCTCATGAAAGGAAGTGTCGGTGAGACATGGAAAAAAAAAGAGCAAAATGTTAGTTAATGTTTTACGAAAATCATATGAAGAAGGTAGCTAGGTTTTGGGAAAAACTTGCATACACGATTCACATTTAATAGAAGAGTAATTATTTAATCAACCACAAAATGTATCTTAATACACGGTTATATGGTAGTTGATTTTTTTTTTCCCTTTAATGAGAGGCAAATAATTTTTGTCATGATATGCACAAATCTTTCATGTTCATTACAAATAAAACCATTGGATAGTTTTTCCAATATTTACTCCTGCGTTTTAAGTTTTTTCCCCTTATGCAATTTTTTTCCTCTAAAGTTTTTGATTGAATTTACAACGATGATAATTCAAATTTATATACAAAAGCTGCAATAATCATTAAAAAGAATGCTAATTTAATTTTCTAGATTAAAAATAATGAGAACATTCACATTAGTTGAGCAAACAAAAATTCACTGCATAAGTTACATCAAAATCTATGCCAACTCTATCAAATATGATGGATCAACGAACGCAAAAATAAATAAAAAATCGCAGATTTGTGTTGCCTATTCAAGAAACAATAATGGCCTTGGTGCTATCAATATACTCACAAACTTAAAACCTAATAATATAAATAATAAGTTCGCATAATTACATGAGCCTAGCATGAACGTTTGTAGATGTACAACATGTTGCCAAGCATTTGGTGTATGATGTGAGATGATGATGGTTTCTTCTCTTCTTTATTGTTTTTTTCCCGTTTAATGTCTTAGAATTGTTGAGTAGCTTCAAATAATGGTCTAAAGAAAACAAAAAAATGCATCAATCTTAAAATAGGGATGCAACATCTCGAACGAATTAAAATACAACAACAAAGTCTTGTAAGTTATAAAACTTAAATATTATAAATAAATTATAGCAAAAAAAAAACTTTGAACTAACAGAAGCACATAATAAATCTTGTGTGACATAATTTTTTTTCCATCTACCGAATTGAGTGAGTAGCTCGCTCCAACCACGAACTATTGTTGATACGAACAGGCTTGCTGCAAAAGAAATTTACAATATGTCAAACACAAATGCAAAAATAAATAAATAAACGGCATAACACAGTTATTAAATAAACGAAAAAGAAGACGAACAAAATTGAGAAAGAAGAAGAAATTTGGCAAAAAAAATGTGTTTTTTTATGGAGTTCTCATGAGTTTAAATAGAAGAATGAAATTGGTAGGGGTTGAGATCATGGTGTGATAACTTCTACCATGATGAATTAGTGGGGGGTTTAGTGGGTGGTTAGTGTAGAGAAGAAAAATCAAAAAAGAAAAATAATTAGAAACATACCTACGGTATATTTAAATATAGGAGTTAGTGTTTAAATTATAAATTGATTAATTAATGGTCAAATTAAACATTTATTAATTTACAAAATTAACCCTAGGTTTAGGTCTAGGTTTTAGTTCAAAATATCTTCGTTTTATATATAAGATTTGTTTTCCATAATACATTTAGGAAATAAAATTTGAAAGTAAATATGCGAATTAACGGAAAGTAAATAAAGCACCACTGATCTTTTCAACAAAAAAAAAGCACCACTTTATATTTATATATTCCAAAAGGGCAAACAAATAAATCACACGGACTAAACCTTTCGTTTTCCCACCAAAACTCACTCGTCTTTTCTTGCCGTCATGGCGAAACCCCTCCTCCTTGCAGCGCTGCTACTAACGTACGCCGTCTGCGCGCTCTCCCTACATCCCTGCCCGCCTTGCGGCACCACCGCCGTCCCCTACCCTCTGAGCACCGCCGCCAACTGCGGCGATCAGTCGTACAAAATCCGCTGCGTCGCAGGCAAGCTTCTGTTCGACTCCTCCAACAACACATACCCGATAACGTCCATTTCCCCTTCCATCCAACGGCTGACGATCGCGCCCTCACCATTACTCCCAAACGCCTGCGTCGCAGCGGATCTACCCTCCAACGGCCTCCAGCTCAACCCCGACGGGCCCTTCAACGTCAGCAGCGGCAACACCATATTATACCTCAACTGCACCCAATCCATTACGGAGTCCCACCTCAACTGCACCCAGGCCAGCCTCTGCCACTCCTACGTCAACGCCACCGGCGGCGCGTGCTGCAACGTGCCGTGCTGCGAGCTCCATTCCGGTGGGACTATCCGCAGGATACGTATGAGGCTTTCGGGTTGCCGGGCGTACACGAGTTTCGTCGATTTGGATCCCGGCCTGCCAGTTAACAAGTGGCCACAGCCAGCCGTGGCGCTGCGGTGGGCCTTGCCGCCGGAGCCCACGTGCGTTGTCCAGGCGGATTGCGGGTCGGGTTCCACTTGTGAACCCGATCGGAGCTCCAATGGCGGCATTAAGGTCAACAGGTGCTTTTGCAATTCCGGGTTGCGGTGGGACCCTGTCGCTGGACTCTGTTCTCAAGGTCCGTTTCCAGAGGTTTTGTTTTAGGGCAAAAAGCGACACCTTGAGTTATAGTTAAATTACAAAAAATTTCCTTATGTTTGGGTAAGTACAGTCACCCCTCAACTATGTTTTATTTTACGAAAAAACCCCTTAAGAGGTAAATTTAGGAACGTTAGGTCAGTAAAGTCAAACCGAAATCTCGGTACGCCAATATTTCATACCGTTTATCGAACTGAATATACAATTTGGTTCTGTGAACAACCGAAGATATACAATTTATGTAAAAATATTTAAAACGAGGGGTGGCTGTAATTACCCGAACAAGAGGGATTTTTTCGTAATTTGGCATAACTTAAGGGTGACCGTAATTTGCCCTTATTTTTATTTAATAATAATGTTAATGAAATTTATGATATGTTTTTTTCTTGTTCATAATAAATATATATATATATATATATATATATATATATATATATATATATATATATATATATATATATATATATATATATATATATATATATATATATATATATATATATATATATGCAGAGTGCGATGCACGGTGGTCACTTTCGAGAACAATCTACTATTCAACAATTTAGGGTCGTCAAGAATAATATTTCAAAATAAATATAAAACTAATATGAGTAAATATGTTGTTAAACAACAACATTTGGTCCGGAGCAACATAGTTTTTGTTCATAACATAATGCATAAAATATTCCGTTCGACATGTCTTCCATATGAGAATGCTAGAACTAACTAAATTAATGGAGTCAAATGCACTGCACCACCTCGTTGGTCCACTAAAATCAAACAGTACAGAGTAGATAACCTGCAAAGTTTACGTATTTCGCATGAATTCAGTTCAATGCATTTTTTTATGAAACAACAATGACGATGCGTAATTAAATAATATTTACATTACATTACTTACCAAATGCGAATATGCTAGAAATACAAAATCATGTGCAAACACTCCTAAACATAAAGAGCACATACACACATTAATACGACTAAATATAGTTATAATAATATAAATAGACGATAGTTTACGATATATACCTTCATATGCGCTGAAATACTTTTTTGTAAACAACGTTGCTAGTTGAACTCGACAATCCACCGGATTCGGACTTGATTAGGATCTTTATGCCAGATCTAATCTTGACTCTCGAGAGTGCAACGTACAACTGAATGTGGCTGAATACAGGCCTGGGTAGATACAAACTGACGTGGGAAAGTGTTTGACCTTGACTCTTGTTGATGGTCATTGCTAAGGAAACCATCAGTGGAAATTGTTGCCTCTGGAACTTAATTGGCAGAGTAGAGTTCGATGGGACCAACATCACCGGTATTTTTGCCGGATAGAACCTTACAGCTAAGAACATGAGTTCCCATTCTAACAACTTGAAGTTTGGTTCCATTGCGAAGGCCTCTCGCCTGGTCGATGTTTTGTATGAGCATAACAGGAATATTTTTCTTGAGTTTCAGCATATGTGGAGGGAGACCGGATCAAGACACGGTGTTGAGGAATTCGGTCGTTTAAATTTGAGCATTCTCTTCCGAACTCATCTCATCCTTCCACATACTATCCACACAGAGGTACAACTTCTCTTTGCCGGGAAAGAGAGAACATAAGTAGTCGTTGACAAACTCAATGCAGTCATTAGTCGGCGCAACCACTGCCCTCCCTTGGAATTAATCGGGATTTGATATGTTACTCAACAAATCCGGATATACAAACTGCAACAACTGCAATAATGGATCTTCGGAATCGGGAATTAGCATGTCCTCGGGAATCTCAACAGACGCTTCATCATCGTTTTGCTCTCCCGCCTCCCCATTACCGATACTCAGTATCCAATCAGCAAACTTCTTTACTTCTTCAACTTCGGATGGATTAGAGCTTGATTGAAGCCTCATATTTGTATGCAACTTAAGAACCTTACAGTCTTCCCAAAGCTGAGATGAGTTGATCGTAGCGTGAACAATGTCCTGCCTTGATGCCTTCAACACCACATGTAAAATCTGTCTAAAGTCTCCGCCTAGAACGACCACCTTGCCGCCGAATGGTTTGGGAACATGCGTGATAGATCGCAAGGTCTTGTCAAGCGCTTCGAAACAATATCTATGCTTCATCGGTGCCTAGTCCCATATAATGAGCCTCGCCTTTATAAACAATTCTGCCTGTGGACTTTGCTGTGTAATGCTGCAGGTGGAACCATCGTGCACAAGATGGGGAGTCCAAATCTAGAATGAGCGGTCCGGCCACCGGGAAGCAGCAACGATGCTATGCCACTCGAAGCAACATTAAGAACTATTTCCCCTTTCGAACGGACAGCAACGAACAACGTTCTCCATATAAATGTCTTTCCGGTACCTCCGTGACCGTAGAGGAAGTACATCCCGCCACAATTCTTCGATGTTAGCAAGTGATTGTCCAGTCTTCACGTTCGTCACGTTTCGACTGCGGGGGCGTATTAGAGTATATTATATTATTAGATATTATAGGATATTAGGAATCTATTATGATTCGATTACCTAGATTAGTTAGGATTTAGTTACCTAGTCTGAGGAAGTGTCCGTTTTCCCAACCGTATGCCTCTCTAATTTCACCAATGTACTCCTTGTCATCTTCCAGCAGACCCAAAATATAGCACGCATCCCTAAACATCTCGTAAAAATTGCCACCCACCGTTCTGATGTCTTCGTAACTTTTGCACCCTCGTTGGACGTTGAGCAACAATCTCAGATAAAAGTCTTCTCCCTTTGTTGGGGGAACATTGGTGACTCTTCCAATGGCAAACATCTTATTTCTTGGCACCCACACCCGAGAATCATCCTTGTACACATAATGTTGGGGAAACTCTGCGTACCGTAACTCCCTTGCTGGTGGGTAGGTCTTGTTCGCCTCGAACCACTCCAAGAACATGGTTTGCCTCGCAGTTGGCCTTTCCAAGACACTCTTTAATGGTTGATTCTCATTGAATACCAACAGTTGATTGTCGGGGAGATGGAAGCTCAATCTAATGACGGGTGGATCCCTATAGTGTATCTCAAATGAAAATATCCTCCACATTGCTTCGTAAGCAGACAAATATCCGCAGTCATAATATCTCCAGTCATAATACATTTTGATTTCATCACGAACAGCAGGACCGACGTCCGTAGACGGGGTTCGGAAAAATGTTGCCCTGACAGATCGTGTGCCTTGTTGTTGTACTTGAATAGATACTTTATTGACCTGCTCTGGTTGCACAACTCCATATTGATGTGGGATCGGTATTTACTCAATAACACACGGTTGTAGGGAACCACAAATCCATTGTCAAGAATAGTATTCTTCTTCCTAACCGTTTTCCATCATCTCTCCTCCTATATACCGGGTAACCATCAGGGTCGGCCTTGGTTCGCTGTACAAACTTTTTTGGAAACCTCTTCGTGCAAACGCCATCCTTCATGCAAGGTGAATTCAAATTTGCATGACCGCACGGGCCGTCTATCATGTATTTCTCAACCAAGTTGTACATCTTTTTGTCGGTTTTTTTGTCCCGAATTTATGCACAGATCATCATGTTGATGTCGGCGGAGCACTTAGGTTTGACATCGTTATCCAACCACAACAATATATGTGCATGAGGCAGACCACGCTTCTGAAATTCTATAGTACACACATCTGGTTATAAAAAGAATTACATAAATTAATATGCATACTTTAATACGATGCTTGATGTAATTAATTTACCGTAAAGTAAATTATTAAAAGGAGTTCATGACTTACGTGCTCTAATTCGTCCGAATATTTGTCCCTTCTTGAAATCCGTCATCAAACTGTCCAACTTCATTTTGAATACGCTACATAGAATATTGATACGCGCAAAACCTACGTATGAATAACCGCAAGTGTACAATATCGCATTTTGTAGAATAGTGAATTCCAGATATCGATCCACAAGGAATTAAGTTCCTAAATTTACCAAGTACTGTAATTATACTATCCTAAACTTTATTTAGACGATCAAGAATGGATGGGAGAAATGAAACTAAAAAGAAACAATAAATAATAAAAACAACGGTCCGCCAGTAAAAGCGAGGAATTCCGACGTGTGATGGTGATAAGTGTTCATTTTGCATGATTTTCACTTATCAATTCTTCGAGTTTTGGTCTTCGTTCGTCCGAGTTTCGGCTTTATTTGTATATATTATTGCGTTTCTTGTTTTATTTATTTTTTCTATGTTTTATTAGGTATTTTTGCCAAGTCGAAGCCATTTGAAAGCGAAACCAAATTTTCAAGCCAATTTTGGGGCCAAAAAGACCCAGATCGCGATCTGTCATCTCTGGATCGCGATATGGGGGTTGTCACAGAACGAAAATGGATCAAGACCCAAATCGCGATATGACATTCCGTATCGCGATCTGGGGGTGTTCCTAGTGCTGATTTGCCGAAGATCCAGATCGCGATCCAGCAATCTGTATCGCAATCTGGGGGGTCTCACAGTGCTGAAATGTTGAAGACCCAGATCGCGATACACATTTATGGATCGCGATCTGGCATGACGGTGGGCAGTTCCCCGAGGCTGCCAGATCGCGATCCAAACAACCCAGATCGCGATCTGGGCACGCCTTTTGAGAAAGATATTTTGTTTGCAAAGTTTCTTGAGGAAGCTTTGCATTTCACTATAAATAGAAAGGCCCTTTCATTCTTCATTGCTTCTTCAACTTTTTACGGTTTTTGACAGTTCTTCGCGAGAATCATCAACGGGGGTTTCGACTTGGGTTTTTTTACGCAATTTCTTTACGTTTTGTTCTTCATTTCCTTTGTACATTCTTTTGACATTATGTTTGTTATGAACTAAGAACATTTTCTTCTAGGGTAATGAAACCTTGTATATATTGATTTCGATCTTCATTTATGTTATCTATTTGTCATGTTTCGATTTCGTTTATGTTTTCCTGTATTAAATGCTTCTTATTGTTTGATCAGCTCTCCGATTGATATTAAATAGGAATGAACTCGAGAGAGGATTTCTTGTTTGAAGTTAGGAAAACATAGCTCGGGGTGTGGAAACGGAGACGTGATGCACTTCGGGTAGCCCTTAAGGACTTGTCCTAAATGCTCTCTTAATAGCAGGTTCTGAACGGAGACGTCAGACCTGTGGGTAGACTCTAACTATACTGGAGACGGGGGTTAGAGTACATTAGCGTCTGGGTTAACGAATAAGAATGTATTATAGATAACGGATTTGTAGATCGTTGTTGATTATACATAGGTGGATTTGGCTCTAGAAGTCCCTTTTAAATCGAAGTCCCCCAGCGTTGAGTTGTCGCTTCTTTATTTACGTACATTCTACATTTGCATGTTTACGATCTTGCATGCTTATAAAATTAGGGTTTATCACCATTCCAAATATTTATGATCGGCTAGATAATATAACGATAATATAATTACACTACTAAGCATGTGAATCTACAAGGTCCCTGTGGATCGATATCCGGAACCACTGTTCTGCAAAATGCGATACTGTATACTTGCGATAATTTATACGTGAGGAAAACGCGTATCAAGTTTTTGGCGCCGTTGCCGGGGACCAATTTGATTTTATCTTCGTTGATAGTGTTACCAATTATCTGATTATTACTTTAGCTATTTACCTGTTTTATTTTCGATTTTTACCTTGATTTTAACCGATCACTTTGTTTATGCCCAGGCGTCAAAATTTGGAAATCATACCTTACGATCCTGAGATTGAAAGGACATTTCATAGACGAAGGGCCGCGCGCAACCAACAAAGTGAACCAATGGCCGACGATCAAGGAAATCCAGAGCACCTGGCCTTTGAGTACGATCGAGAGCCAGGACGAGATCACGAGCAGCCAAGACCGAACCTGCCACCCGAGCGAACAATGCGAGAATACCGAACTCCAGCTGTGAATGAGAACTATTCGGGAATCAGGAAACGGACGATAGCCGCAAACAACTTCGAGCTAAAGACTGGGCTAATCAACATGGTCATGGCGAACTGATTCTCCGGAGCAGCCACTGCAGATCAAAATCTCCATCTTGCCAATTTCTTGGAGATTTGTGACACGATCAAAGTTAACGGTGTTTCTGATGATGCCATTCGGTTGAAGCTATTCTCATTTTCTGTCAGAGACAAAACGAAGAGTTGACTTCTGAGTCTTAATCCAGTATCACTCACCTGTTGGGAAGAATTATCACAAGCCTTTCTAGCACGATTGTTTCCACCCTTAAAGACCGCACAACTACGAAGAGATGTAGGCAACTTCAGACAGATGAGCCAAGAGCCTATGCACGAGTCTTGGGAGAGGTTCAAAGACTTATTACGACAATGCCCTCAACACGGATTCAACCCGTGGGATCAAATGGAGTTATTCTACAATGGGCTCGATCAACCTACCCGATCTCTAGTCGATGCTGCCTCAGAAGGATCATTGCAAAACAAGACTCCCACAAACGCTCGAGACATTGTCGAGCGAATGTGTGAGAATGCTTACCATTGGCCGTCCGAACGAAGTGGTATACAAAAGGTGGCCGGAGTCCACCAACTCGATCCTCTAGCCTCGGTTTCAGCACAATTAGCGACTCTATCAAATCAGGTCGCCCAATTATCAGTTCGAGGGCCATAGACCGAATGAGTAGCAGCAGCAAGCACCTCGCAAGCCACAAACAACGATTGGGAGCAGACATACTTTATGAACCACCGATTCAACAATTTCCGGGGAAACAACAATCATAACCAAAACCCTACTCACTACTACCCGGGATTTCGGAATCACGAGAACTTCTCCTACGCCAATCCAAAGAATGCTCTACAACCACCTTCCGATTTCAACCATCAAAGAGAGCAGCGAGGGCCGACATATGATGAGCATCTTCATTGACAAGAACAAGAGATGGAGGGATTGAAATCAACAATGAAGAACATGGAAAAGCAAATAGCGCAAATCGCCCAATCCATGTCCACGATGGCCAAGGGTGGATTTCCGAGCAATACCGAAGTCAATCCCAAAGAAAGTTGTCAAGCCATAACCACCCGAAGTGGTTTGCAAATGACCGATCCTCCTTATCCGACAGACGAGTCACCAAGGCCAGTTGTACAACCGACCCCGGTCGAGCCGGAAATCACCATTTAAGGAAGTAGTACAAAAGAGGCTAGTAAGCCCAATAACATTTCTTTTCCTGATAATCCTCCTCTTATGATAACTCCTATTCCTTTTCCAGAAAGACAGAAGAAGAATAAGTTCAAGGATCAATTGAAGAAGTTCATTGAAAAGATCAAACAGATTCGAATCAACATCCCTTTTGCAGAAGCTTTTAATGTAATGCCAAACTACACCAAGTTCATGAAAGAAGTCCTATCCAAGAAAATTCGGATCGAAGAAGACACACCAGTGACACTCACGGCAACCTGCAGTGCCATTCTTAAGTCGAATCTACCACCAAAAATGAAAGATCCAGGGAGTTATACTATTCCTTGTATTATTGGAAATTCTACTTTCGATAAAGCTTTATGTGATTTGGGGGCAAGTATTAATTTAATGCCTATGTCTGTGTTTCTAAAACTGGGCTTAGGAAATTTGAACCGTACTCGCATGACTTTACAACTAGCTGATCGTTCCTTGAAATATCCCGATGGGATTGTAGAAGATGTGCTAGTTAAAGTAGATAAATTCATTTTGCCTGTTGATTTTAGGTCGTCCATTCTTAGCCACTGGTAAGACGATGATTGATATGGAATTAAGATCTTTAATGCTTAGGGTAAATGGGGAAGAAGTTGTTTTTAATTTGACAGATGCATTTAAACACTCTGAGCATGTTGAGCATTGCAGTAGAATAGACGTGATCGAGGACTGTGTTTCCTCCTTTTTTGATTTGTATGAATTATGTGATTCTGTTGAGCACTGCATTGTTAACTCTATTGATTTGCATTCTGCCTCCCCTGAAACTCCTATTGAAAATGATGTGCTTGATTGTGTGTTGTTTCTTGAATGTGCCGAGATTTTAGGCATAGACGAGGTAAGAATCGTCCTCGAGATACCAGTTAGTGTGAAAACGGCCCCCGTACTGGAATTGAAACAATTACCGGATTATCTTTGTTATGCTTTTCTTGGAGCAGACAAGACTTATCCGGTGATCATTTCTTCCAGTTTGAGCGAGGCCGAAACAAACACACTGTTGGAGGTCCTTAGAGAATAAAGGTCGGCTATAGGTTGGTCTATTGAGGATATTAAGGGAATTAACCCATCTATTGTTCAACACAAAATTCTAATGGAAGACGTCTATAAACCAAGAGTCCAACCTCAGAGGCGGTTAAACCCGTCAATGAAAGAGGTAGTAAAAAAGAAAGTCTTAAAACTGTTAGGCGTGTTGGGGATCGTGCATGTATACGCAGCGGAATTTAAAATTTTTATATCGAACTAGTTTCGATTACATGCATAAACTAATCACATAGTCAACGTACCTTAACGCTTCCGCCATACATATGGTAATTATCGATTTAATTGAAAAACACGTAAAACCGAAAATTACGAAACATGCTTGTTCATCATTCAATAAAATCGAAACACGTAATCACATATTACTCATAATCATAAATCATAATTCATACAAACATGCTCGAATTAATTTATGAAAGTTTCGATTCATTTACCTCTTGTAGCATGAGATTTCGACGAATCGAAACCTGGAACCAATCACGTACAAGCTGCAAATTACCAATCCTCGGGGCTGCAACTCACGGCTGGAATGAGCTGATCCAGCAAGCGACGAACGGCGATGATTGGCAGCAGCAGCGGCGGCGCGTGGCAGCAGCAGCGGCGGCGCGTGAGCGGCGTAGCGGCGCGTGAGCGGCGTAGCGGCGCGTGCGGCGGTGCGTGGATTCGTCGGGGCAGCAGCTCCTCTCCAATTAGGTTTCACCTCGTATTTTCGACTCACTCGAACTACAGCACTAGATGTAAACGAGTTAGATAACAACAAGAATAAAACGAAGGAAACGAGAGAAGAAAAACGGCGGTTTTCCGGCGGTGGTCGGCAGTGGCGCGGCGGGGCAGCAACGGCCGAAGGGGAGAGCGGCTAGGGCTTGAGCGGCTAGGGTTTGGTGCTGAAAATCTGATCTCAAACTCTTGTTTGAGGTCTATTTATACCTAGGGTTTTCAACCCTAGTGGGCTTAAGTCATTGGGCTTGACCCACTGATGCATTAAGCCCATTCCCTCGTCGGCCTCGTTTCTAATAAACGATCGTTCACAAAATTATAACAAAATTATATTTGTGACGAGCTCAAAGTCCTCGTCGATACGAGTGCCTCTTCGAAATTTCCAATTTCCAAAATTGGAAACTTCCACTTTAATGGACTTGCTAAATCGGGAAACTTCCCAATTTAGAAAGTTCACTAAATTCCGCATATCTCTCTTTCTCCACGTTTATTCCGATTCGCAATCCACAATTACGAATCTTGGATTCAATCATATCGACATCCAATCGTTCAAAGATTAACACATTAATCTATGCTTGTTGTTATTAAGGATCTATATTACACGAGAAGTGTGACCCTCAATGGTTCAGGTGTATGCTAGCCGTGGGCTCACAACTCTTTGTGATTCGAACAACACATTGTTCTTATACGAACTCCTCCCAAGAGTCCCGATTAGAGTAAAACTCATTTTACCTAATCCCCGATCAAATCGGTGCCCAACGAATCAAGATTGCGTCTAGCAACTACGCATCATGATTCCCTAGATACAAATGAAGTGCCTGCAAGAACCTTATGATATAGTTAGCGTACAGTACGATCCTTTCGCAGCACATGTCCCGATTGAACTAGAGGCATTGGTTCACCGAGACCTCTTATAAAGTTCAATAACCGTGCGAACGTTCTAGGTATTATAAATCCGTTCGTGTGCGACTTAGGGAAACACATTTCCCTAATCACCCCACTATCAACTCTGGCCAGAGATTCCATGGATTATAAACCGTCAGAACACACAGGACATCCATGACTACTCAAGCGCTTGAATCCCCTACTACAATGCACAGACTTCACACTAGATTTCGGATTGCACGAACGTTGGCCCTTGGAGTGGTCCGCGGTGGGACTCAGGGACAGGTCACGATACAATCGGTCCTCTAGTGAAGTCACGGTGATGTCTGGGTCTTAAGGACTAATGGTGTACAACTATATCTTAGAAACCTATTACTCGATGAATAAGAACCACTTATAGATTTCTAGGGCGTGGGAGTTCAGTGAACTCATCCAGTATGAGCACCCACTCAAGTATGCCGATGTCACAACACCGAGGACTGATGAGACGCAGTACACATACACTAAGTGCTAGTTTCAAAAGGGAAAGGCCGGTATCCTTATTATTGGCGTAACCCATCGACTAGGAACAAGGTTTAACAGTTACATTACATTGCTGAGTTATCTCACGATTCTACTAGATCAACTCACAGTAATAGAGTAACTCGTTAGGACTATATCTATGCTACGTGCATGGGATAACAGATATAGAATGCCAAATAAGATATTTTATTATTACGAACGAAAAACGATTGTTTTATTACAAGGGAAAGAGAAAGACCAAAGCCACAAGTTGGCTTGTCGGTCACCTACTCTAAGAAGGCGCTGGTATGATTTATGCAATTTCTGACAGTCTGTGGGTCAGTCCGGTGCAGGTTGTGCCAAAAAGGGGTGGATGACGGTTATTGTGAATGATAAAAATGAACTTATTCCGTCTAGGACAGTCACTGGGTGGGGTGTGTGTTTCGATTACCGATTATTGAATGCATCCACCGGAAAAGACCATTTTCCCCTTTCCTTTATCCATCAAATGCTAGACAGACTAGGAGGTTTCAAGTATTACTGTTTTCTTGATGGTTATTTGGGGTACAATCAAATTTCAATCGCCCCGGAAGACCAAGAGAATACTACTTTTACTTGCCCCTACGATACTTTTGCATTTCGTCGAATGCCTTTAGGTTTGTGTAATGCGCCTGCTACCTTTCAACGATGTATGATGTCTATTTTTCATGATATGGTAGAAGAATTTCTTGAGGTATTTAAGGATGATTTTCCTGTGTTTGGATCATCCTTCGATCATTGTGTGCACAATCTGGAACTTGTTTTAACAAGATGCACAGAAACGAACCTTGTTTTAAATTGGGAAAAATGTCATTTTATGGTTCGTGAAGGTATTGTTCTAGGTCACAAGGTCTCGAAAAAAGGTCTTGAGGTGGATAGGGCAAAAATAGAAACGATTGAAAAATTGTCTCCACCGAAAGATGTCAAGCGAGTTAGAAGTTTTTTGGGGCATGCTGGGTTTTACCGTAGATTTATTAAAGATTTTTCGAAAATAGTAAAACCATTATGTCATTTGCTTGAGAAGGAAGCCACTACAAAAAAAACTGTTTTATGTGACGCAATAACTCGTCGCAAAAACTCAATATATTGTCACAAAAAAAATTAGGTGACGATATATTTCGTCACAGGGGTCGTCGCGTAGGCCCCGTCGTGAAAGGTGTCAAGTGACAAACTGAAGTTTTCGTCACCAAATATTGTGACAAAAGCAAAATTCGTCACATAAAGTTTTATTGTTGTGACGAAGTGTTCGTCGCATAAACCGAATATGTTCGTCGCTAAAATAATTGTCGTCACAAGAAGTAATCTTTTCACTTACTTCTTGTGACAAATTATTTTGTCACAGAAGACACGATATCTATTGAGACAATTATTTCGTCACAAAAAGTTATTTTTCAAAATTTTATTATAAATATATAATTTGGTATATAATATTTATATTATTCATATTATTAGCATTTAAATTAAAGAAACTAATAAGAAAATTTCAAAAAACTAAACAACCATTCCGGAAATAAAATTGTATTGCAATATATCGTACCATTTCACATACAAATTAAATTGAAACTTGCATTAAAAATAAACTACATAATATAAAAATACACAGTGTTTCCTTCAGTGGAGCGAATTCCTCCTCACAACCTTCTTTGTAATTTCAGGCTTCAACTGTACATTTAACAAGTATCTCAAGTGCCTTGAGATAGCCTCTTATCCACTGTAACTGACCATCATTTTTCCCAGATCAATCCACAAATCTGTATCACAAAAATAATAAAAATAATAATAATAAATTAAATCCCATTTTTTTATTCAACAACCCTTGAATCTTCTAGCATCGAAACATAATTATAATTCTCAATTGGAGAGAATAAAAGCCGCAACCTAAATTAGACGACCCGCGTATGAAACTCATCAGGTCAAAATTGAAGACTGCAAAACATGAAAAATTGGAAACTACCAATTTCTAGAGCATATACAATACATCGTCTACAAAATCCGACAAACATAATCTAAAATCTGAAAAAGAAAAAAAATTAAAAAAATTGATCAATTTGATTTTGCGCACACCTTCTTACAAGAAATTTAAATTCTACCGCTTTCAGTACACACACACACACACAAAAAAAAAAAAAAAAAACGAGGGCGTAATACTCACCTGATCTGAAGAAAAAAAAAATCACGAATGGATTTCTGCGTTTGATTCGTGAATTCATTAAAAAAATCACCTGGGCTCGCGCAGCTGCAATCACTTAATTCAGGCAACCCCCAAAAAAATGATTAAATGGCTAAATATAATGTAGCAATTCTATTTCCAAATTCCAAATTCCAACCATTGCTTCAAACAATGAAACGGAAGTTCTCGAAAAATTGTCTAACTTCCAAAATTCTTTAAAGTAAAACCTGAAATTTAATGAATTCTAAATATTTACCATGGAAATTATTGGGGGGAGGGGGGGCAACATGAATTTAAAACAATCAAGCTGCAGTAATAATACCTGAAGACAAAGGTGCACAAAAACTTTTTTTCACAAGCAATATGAACTTAAAAGGAACCAAGCTGCAGTAATAAGGATACACTCTACACAACCAAAGTTACTCGTATATCAACTTTATCATATTGACAAATAATTAGTATATTGTATAATGAATATCAAAAGTACTAAGAAATCTGAAATCCATGCAAACCGGACAACGAAGAGATACCTTGACTAAGAAAGTGCTTGGTGCTACTCAGTCGATCCCGCTAAAGGTTCCTTCCTCGCTTGTTATTCTGCAAAGGGAAAATCAATAATTAGAAAACTATACTTACACACTAACTTTAAGCATAATAAATTAAATCTTAAAAATGCTACCACAAAAAAAACTTTTAATTTCAAGAGTCGGTTCGCTGGTTACAATTAACGTCCAGCCAAAACAAAACCACCATATCGAGTAGTTACAGTTCGTTTCATTAGAAAGAAAGTTGATCATCATTACAATGAGGTGAAATCAAGGAAACAAACAACTAAGACAGCAAGATAATTACCATGTCTCTAGAAAGGTAAGCAGCCAGAAACCGAGATAAATCTTTCCAGCATACGGTACCACATCAAAGCCTAGAGGTACATGCATCTCATAATGTCTATTTTCTACACCTGCATCATTAACATAATCTTCATATGAGTAAATAAAAGAAGGACGAGTCAGATTAGTCTTCATATGACCAAATCTTGAATGATCTGCTTGAGTACAACTCTGTGTGCAACAAAGCAGCAGAAAATTACCGAATGAAGTGAAAGAAGTAAACAGTGTTTTTAATCAGTTTCTTGTTTAAGAACCGGAAGAATGCCCAAGGCTGATGAACCAAGCTGCATGCCTCTGACAACACCACCATAAGTGATCTTGATTTTGTAGCAGAGGAGCAATCATATAGTGTTGTTCTTCCCTGCAAAAAAGAACCAAAGATGACATTAATTAAAACTATTATCTACTTACTTCAAATGAATTTGGGTCCTACACCATATGAATCCACTTAAATTGACATTCATAAATCCATTGAAGACTTGCCGTATATTTCTAATTGGTCAACCGTCGCTCTTTGTTATCATGTAGAAAACAAATTCTGAAGACTATATAATGGACTGCTATAACTTCCCTGGAAGGATAATGAAGCTTTTTATCCATGTATAGTGCAAAACTAGGGGAATTTGTTTCCCCACAGCTAAAATACAAGCTCGTGAATAGTGCAAAAGAAAATAGCTGCTGGATGTTATGATACCACATGAACTAAGAAAAAAAAAATTCGACTTGCTATGAAGCTTCATATGCCTAAACAAGTAATCGACTAATTATTCAACAACTTAGAGACAGTCAGTAAAGTTAATGCCGATTTTAACGGACACTGGGGAAGCAAAATCAGCAGGGGGAACACCAAATTATTTTCGCTGTAGAGAATCAATTAATAGTAAACAAGAGCAGGGGGATTCCATCTACATACTTCAATTTTTCAATGTTTTACTCTTCATTTCTTCCTTTAGGGCTTCATTATTGCACTTCCGTTGAAGCATCATACTAGAAAACCCTATAATTCTGATTCAAAAAACCCTAATTTAAATTCAAACATCGAAGAAATTTTGAAAATTAAATTAGATATCCTTAATTTAATTTTGAGAAAAAAATCCAGTTAACGAACTTTTAGCCAAAACCTTAACATCAGATTTCAGATTAAGAGAGAAGAAAAATGATAGAGGGGTAGATGCTCAAAAAATCCAACTTACGCACTTCTACCCAAAATCTTAACATTCCATTGCACATTGGGGGAGAAAACAATGACAAAGAGGTAGAGATTTGGGGGAGAAAATAAAATTACCTTAATTGAATCGATTGAGAGACTAGCGGAGGCGACAAGCGGAAGGCTGGCGGTGGTGCGGAGGCGACAAGCGGAAGGCTGGCTGGCGGTGGTGGCAGATGCGACAAGCGGAAAGCTGGCGGAGGCGACAATCGGAAGGCTGACAGTGGTGGCGAAGGCAACGGGCGGAAGGCTGGCGGTGGTTGTTGACCACCTGACCCAAGAGCCGAAACGAGAGAGAGGGAGTGGAAGGAAAATGGTGAGAGAGGAAAATAATAAAATTTTAATTGATATTCAATTAAAAGGATCCTTCAGTTATTAATTGTAAAAGATTTATGATAAAATTTATATTTAATTATAAATTATTTAGTTGTAACAAAATCAATTTTGTCACAATAAAAAATGAATGTGACGAAATTATTTTGTCCAAAAACAATTCAATGTTGTCACTAAAAGGGTGCACCGATCGTTGAAATGAGCTAGCCATTTCTTTTCATGACAAATTTATAATATTGTCATATAAAACGAACCTTATATGACGAAAATAATTTTGTCTCATAAAATATTACTTTATGAGACGACATCTGACTTCGTCATATAAACTTGTTATTTATGTGACGAATTTAACTTTCGTCACAACAAATTGTCACATAAAATACATTTTTTTGTAGTGAGCCGTCTTTGATTTTAATTCTGCTTGTTTGCAGGCTTTCACGTTTCTCAAGGAGAAGCTAACCCAATCGCCGATTATGATTACTCCCAATTGGGAGGAACCATTCGAGATCATGTGCGATGCGAGCGACTATGCTGTAGGTGCAGTATTGGGACAAAGGAGGGACAAAATCTTCAAAGCCATCTACTATTCGAGTCGTACACTTGACCAGGCACAGAAGAACTATTCAACGACCGAAAAGGAAATGCTTGCAGTCGTTTATGCCGTTGACAAGTTCATACCGTATATTTTGGGCTCTTAGGTGATCATTTACACCGACCACGCAGCTATTCATAACTTGTTCGCAAAGAAGGACGCCAAACCCCGACTCATCAGATGGGTACTACTACCCCATGAGTTCGACTTGGAAATCAAAGATAAAAAGGGGAGCGAGAATGTGGTAGCCGATCATCTTTCTAGACTCATACTAGAAGAAGTTCCAGCCGAAGGAAATATTCAGGAATCATTCCCAGACGAGCAATTGCTCGTCATTAGTACTCACACTCCGTGGTATGCTGCTGTGGCCAACTTTTTGGCCAGTCGAATCATTCCTGACGATCTATCTTATCACCAAAAGAAAAAATTCCTTCACGACAGTCGTTTTTATCTTTGGGACGAGCCGTTGCTTTTCAGAACCGGCTCCGACCGAGTCATCCAAAGATGTGTTCCGGAAATCGAAGTACGTGAGATTCTCACGCATTGCCACTCTTCACCTTGTGGCGGGCATCACGGGGAATCTCGCACGGCCGCCAAGGTTCTACAGTCAGGCTTTTATTAGCCAACCCTATTTCGAGATAGTTACGAGTTCGTGAAACGGTGTGATCGATGCCAACGGACAGGGAACCTATCCAACAAAAGCCCAATGCCACTGAACAACATGCAAGAGGTGGAGCTTTTCGATGTTTGGGGGCATAGACTTCATGGGACCATTCCCTTCTTCGAACGGGAAGTTATACATTCTGCTTGCCGTGGACTACGTGTCCAAATGGGTCGAAGAAATTGCCATCACTGCCAACGATGCTCGTACGGTCCTCAAATTCTTTCACAAGAACATATTCTCAAGGTTTGGGACACCTAGGGCGATCATTGGAGATGAAAGATCTTACTTCTGCAACAAACTGCTCACTAATCTCACGAACAAGTTGGGGATCCGACACAAAAGTGCGCTGGCCTATCATCCACAAACAAATGGCCTTGCTGAGTTGTTAAATCGATAAATCAAACAGATTCTGGAGAAGACCGTGAGCACGAACCGTAAAGATTGGGCGTTGAAGCTCGATGATGCACTTTGGGCTTATCAAACCGCATTCAAGAAACCGATTGGGATGTCTCCCTCCAAACTCGTGTTTGGGAAAGCGTGCCACCTGCCAGTGGAATTGGAGCACCGAGCTTATTGGGCAGTCAAAAAGCTCAATTTCGATCAAACAGCTACCGGCGATCGTCGATTGCTTCAACTCAACGAAATGGAGGAGTTCAGAAACGATGCTTACGAGAATGCCAAGATTTACAAAGAAAAGACAAAAAAGTGGCATGACAAAAGAATTACAAAGCGAGAGTTCCGGGCAGGTGACCAAGTCCTGCTATTCAATTCTCGGCTACGACTATTTTCGGGAAAACTCAAGTCCCGTTGGTCAGGACCATTCGTAGTCCTAAGCGCAACACCACAAGGAGTTATCGAAATACGAGGACGAGACGGTCCGTCGTTCAAAGTGAATGGGAAACGAGTTAAGAATTACTACCCGAATGGTGCTCCCGAGGAAGTGGAGCGTGTCGCACTAATTTTCTCCCAATAAATCCAAAAGAAGTCGAGCCGTCGACTGTAAAACAGACGCTAAATGGGAGGCACCCCATTGTTGCTCATTCTCGGCCATTTTCCCTTTGTTCTTGCTTTCGTGTGTTTTTTACTCTTTTCTTGCATTTTTAGATTACAGGACCCAGATCGCGATCCAGAAAGTCGGATCGCGATCTTGGGGGTCTTACAGTGGGGAAATTGAAGAGGAACGAGATTGTGATCCACACACCCGGATCGCGATCTGGGGTGTTATACAGAAAACAATTGAGGATCCAGATCACGATCCAGGAAGTCGGATCGCGATCTAGGGGGTCTTACAGAGAGAAAAAAAGGTAAATCCAGATCGCGATCCAGGATTTCGGATCGCGATCTGGGGGGTCTTATAGAGCCTACAAGTTGAAGAACCAGATCACGATCCAGCCAACCCGGATCGCGATCTGGGGGGTTTCACAGTACGTTATTAAGGGCAGACCTAGATCGCGATCCGGCCCTTTTAGATCGCGATCTGGGGGCGAAAACTGTACTTATTCGAAAAAAACCTCTTTTTCTCACTTCATTCT